CGGTTCCGACCAAGCTGCAGCCAGGACCAGATCACAGACTAAAAACTAACAACTATAGAATTCTGTGTACGTACTGTAAATTTCCTGTCTGCAAAGGTTAGTAAAAAAAAAATGCTGGAACATCACTTTTTAGTGATTGGAGCTGTTTTATGGCAGCAGCAACACACTGTTGTGTATAAATGGAACCACGCTCTGTTCAAACCATGTACTGAAAAAAAAATTCCACCGGCTTGCTGTGTGGTCATTAAAGTAATCTGAATGTTATGTGGGTTGGACTAGCTGTTAGCTTATCAGTCCTGAAGGAAAAAACACATGGTTTCTCCAAACAAAGGCAACAGTCTGATTATAAGGCGAGTACTTAAAGGAAGACTAGGCAGTTTTGGCTTGTTTTAAGCACCCCCTAGTGTCCGTTTGTAAAACCAAAACCAGTCTTGTCATTTCATTGCAATTTTTGTTTTAAACATGGTTAATTATCCATAAATGTCACATTTTGTGTTTTTTTTTTCATTCTGTGGCTGTTTGCAGTCAAAATTAGCCGTTGCCATATTTCAACCTTGAATTTCAAAAATTATTTTACCACCTACCAAAAACTGTGAATTTTATAGCATTAAAAAGGCGATAAAATACCACTTATGTGAATCACTATTATTTTTTAAATTGGACTTATTTTTCTTTGTAATTGGCTTCATTGTGCCTAGCCATTAGCTCATCAATTGATCAGAGCGAATCAGCTTTTCCAAACTAAGGCTGTTCATGGAGCTACACAGCAGGTAAGAAAATAATTCATCATAACTTTTTTACAGAAACTCACCTACAACATTTTCCCTTACAGGAAACAGGTGTTGGGGGGGGGGGGGGGGGGGGGGGGACAACAGAAAAGCTTTTTTCTAGGCAGTTTTGGCAAAACCCATCTCCTCTCTGTGCATTTGTCTTTTTTAACACCTTAATCTAACAGCTGAAATGCCTCCCAGTCTTCCTCTAGGAGCGATTCATCATTAAAACAAATCAGCTGTGTTCATGATCTAAATCATGAAACGTGCTGGAACCAGACTGCAGCACCTGGTATGTCAGCTCCATTTTTCCCAACGGACCGGACCTGCAACTCTGAAGTAGCAAGTGGAATATTCTGGCTACAGGGTGCAGGTGGTCAAGGGTCATTTTAGGGTTTTGGTTAATTTCAAAATATGAAAAAGTTTTAAAAGTATCCCTTTAAACAACTGAAGGTTTAAGTTGTTTGCTAGAGGTAATATATAAAAACATGTTTGTTTTGAGGATTTTTTTTTTTACAAAAAAATAAAGTTACCCTAAAAATAATTAAATAAAGGAGCACACAGCTCATGTTAAATGTCAATAGTTGTGCCTCAGGCATTTCAAATAATTTTTAATAAATAGAAAAACTTTAATTGTTTGATAATTTTCACAAATCAAAATATAGCAGCACTGATATAATACAATCCTATTTTTATTAGATGCTGCCTCTAGAATGCATGAACAGATGTTTCTGAAAGATGTGTAGATGCCAATTTGCTGTTTAGATTTGAGTGACAGTCTTGATGGATGTTGAGATTTATGTTTATGTATTTAGCAGACGCTTTTGTCCAAAGCGACATACAAGTGATGAGAGATTTAGAGAGAGAGAGATTTAAAAGTTAACGTTCTGTCATTTACAACAAAACTAAATAAGCTTTAAAAAAAACCTACGTGACTAAACTAATGGAACTTCTGTCTTGTTTGTTGGTGAGAAAGTCTTGGTGCGTTGCTTCCAACAGGTTGGTCACGCAGCAGAATTTCAATTTGAGTTTGGAGCCTCAGGTCAACCCCCCCCAACACACCCCTCTACGATGTGGCTTTCTGCTTCACATCACTCCTTCAAAACCACTGCGCTTCCCTTTCATAGGTGGAACTATGTTGCTATGGTGTTTTGACCAATGGGATGGCATTTCCAGAAACACAGTCAGTCGCTGTCTCCCTCTACTTCACACACACACAGACACACACACGCACGCACACACTTGAAGAAGCCTGTTGAGCAAATGCCCCCCAGTAACAAAAGCAAGGCCTCTTCTTTGTTTGTCTCGTGAACACCGGTCAGGAGGTCACATACTTTATTTTAGAAAATATGCGTTTCCACACTCTGAGCTTTATAGGTGTGGTAAAACATCCTGCATAGAAAATATGACAGTGGTAACAAACGAGAAAAAAAAGTTAATTTAGACACCTATTGTTGGATATTTTCTCTAGTCAAAACAGCCAAGTTTTACCTGTTTTGTAGCTGCTGATGACAGCTGATGCAGAGCCGTCTGAAGATGCCCAGCTTCTGTGCAGTTGCTTCTTGTATGCAGAAATCTCACCAGATTCCCTAAAATATTTAACATTTTACATCGTGGATGGAGGAATGTGCATTCATCTTTTGATCTCTCTTTCAGGTACCTTGCTTTTCAAACTTCAGTCATTTTCTCACTTCTTGCTAATGAAAGACTGCAGATCCTTCCAGCTTTGCGTTCAGAAAAGTTAACCTTTCACTGGATTTGGATTCGTTTAGAAATACAACCTCCTGCTTACTTTACATCTTTTACTAGTCCCAACTTTCCTTAGATGCTTATAGGCCTTGCAACAAAAAATAAGCAGGAAATACTACGATATGAATAGGTGCATGTTGGCAAGTGCATTGGATGATAAAAAACAAAAGGAACATTATTTGGCATGAATACAAAAAATGAAATGTTTTGCTGAGTGATTATCAAGAATTATTGGAAGGGACAACGGTAGTCACAGTGCTGTCTGGCATCAATGTGAACCAACACAGATCACAAAAACAGACTAATTTGTTCTCCACTGTTTCATGCGCTCACCACCTCTAAACCCTTGTTTTCCATCCACGAATAAAACGCTTGATGAATATCTTTATTCTACAGTCACTGGTGGAAAAACATTCATATTTACAGTTTTTTCATGAGACATTCTGCTAGGTTTCTCCGGCTTTTTCTTTCTCTCCCTGAACCGTCTGCAGGTGGTTCAGAATGCCTGTACTCGGCTTCTGACCAAGTCCTCCAAACACACCCACATCACCCCGCTTCACTGGCTGCCAGTCAACTTCAGGGTTCAAGATCCTGGTTCTGGTCTATAGGGCCTTACATGGACAAGCACCATCTTAAACTGGTGATCTTCTTAGTCCCTACACCCCCAGCAGGTCCCTGAGGACCAGTGATCAAAGCCAACTGGTTGTGCAGCACCAGGCTAAAGACCAAAGGTGACAGATCATTTGCTGCTGTGGCCCCCAGACTCTGGAACTCTCTCCCTCTGAGCCTGAGATCAGTGGACTCAGTGGTCTCCTTTAAAAAGCAGCTGAAAACTCACTTGTTCAAGCTGGCTTTGGTGTGACCTTCATCACCCTCTCCTTGTTCTGCTCTACCTATTCCACCTTCCTCAGGATCCACTGATTTCCCTCTTTCCCATTCACTCTTTCTTTACATTTTTTAATCACAATTGTCTATATTTTTTTGCTAATTTAAAATATATTTTTAATCATTTTCTAAATTCTTTTTTATATTTTTGTTTTTGTGAAGCGCCTTGTGAATTTTATCTTGAGAGGCGCTATAGAAAAGATCTTTTCCTCTTCACTGAGGGGACAATGACAGTGCTGTTGACAGATTTAAAGGAAGCAGCTCCCTAACCAATCACAATTCGACAGATGTTTAGAAAAGCGGGCTAGACTGTGTCCATCCTTGTCTATCAATGAAGACATAAGTATAAATCAGGCTTTACACTAACACGGTAATGATAAATGGCCTGTATTTGTGTAGCACCTTCTTAGGGTTCTGCTAGGCAAGGCCTGCCGAATGCTGGCGCCACCGGTCCCTCTAACCACCAAGGTGGTTAAGTGTCTTGCCCAAATGGTAAATGGCCTGTATTTGATATAGCGCCTTCTAGAGTCCTGGAACCCCCCAAGGCACTTTACAACACAATCAGTTATTCACCCATTCACACACACTGGTGGGGATGAGCTACGATGTAGCCACAGCTGCCCTGGGGCGCACTGACAGAGGCGAGGCTGCCGAGCACTGGCGCCACCGGTCCCTCCGACCACCACCAGCAGGCAACGTGGGTTAAGTGTCTTGCCCAAGGACACAACGACAGCGACAGACTGAGTGGGGCTCGAACCTGCAACCTTCCGATTACAGGACGAGCACTTAAGTCCTGTGCCACCGTCGCCCAAGCACACAACAGCAGCATTCTCTGGTCAGAGCCGGGATCAAAGCTGCAACCTTCTGATTACTGGATAACCCGCTTTGCTGCCCTTAACATGAACCAATAATGAATAAGCCACAAATTAAAAAGATCCTCAATGTTGGACAAAAAATATTACATAAAAGGTCAGTAGCAACAAAGTCAGGTCACCACCAGTCCGTGTTTTCATAGCCTCCTGTAACTCCCTCAAATGAGTGCAGGCTGTGCCGGTGTTCACTCTGGTTAGCTTGCTTCACCTCCAAAGACTTTCCAGTTGACTTCCATTTAAACTTGAAATTTGCCTCTGAAGTAGCTGCCTTGAGATTGCCTTAAATCAATCCAGACAACTGGAGCAGACGGCCCAAGAAAAGTGAGGCAGAAAACCTAATTCCTGATAGCAGGTAATGTAAACTTAGTTTTAGCCACATTCGCAGACAACGCACCAAGTGGAAATAGAAATTCCTCTGCTGCCAAAGAGATAGGTTTGGGTTCAGAAACCCAGTTTAAAGCTGCATTAACTAGACTGAACCACATTTCTCACCATAAGATTAGACTCTAAAGAATTTCTGGTATAAATGTGACACCTAGTGGCTGAACATTTTATGACTACTCAGTTTTGGCATTTTAAAAAATAAAAACTATTTTTACAAATTTTGCACATAAAAATGTTCCAATCTAGGACTTTATTTTTATTCAGCATACTTTCCCCTAAAAACTGGATAAAACCTTACAATTCAGAGCTTTAACAGCAAAACAAATTCATATTCAACTAGTAACGAATTGCCAAACTTTATTTTAAATCAAAACAAAGCACAGCATTAAAACATTATAAACACTTTAACATCCATCGACTGTCTTAAAAGTGTAAAAGAAAAATTATGCGATCAAGCACTTCTGGTTTAGCATCATGCTCAGATATTAAGTCTGTTAAACTTGTAGGAACAAGAAAAAAAAAAGATTCACCTTTTGAACGACTTCCCATTATCGAAGCCTCAAATAGACGAAGGTGAACAGAAACGTACTGATTTTCAAGTTTGTGATGCTGAAAACTGCATTCAATCGTGTTTATTTACGTTGTCAGTGTTTCAAATGACATGTTAGTAAGAAGCCTGCGATGCAGTGTAACACCTGGTCCTCAGGCAAGACGCAGGTGAGATCAGCCCAGGGATGGAATTGGGGGGAACACAGAGGGAAGTTTTGACAGAGTTTAGGTTCAAGTCATGGATATCACGTGGGGTCGGGGAGGGCTGATTTCGAGGCTTTGTTTTCATTTTGCACCGGGTTTAGGCTCCAGGGGTTGGCCAATGTCTTTCCCTCGCAGCTTCCGCCCTGGAAAAACAGATTGACAAGCAAAAACTTTGGCATACTTAATGTTTACATTAATTAACTGTATTCTGTCACTATTCTTACCAATTGCTCTCTCAATTTTTCCCATGACCTGGTTGTTGGGTATTGCTTTCCCAGTCTCATAATCAGCAATAACTTGAGGCTTTTCATTAATTTTCTGTCAGAAATGGCCCATTTAGTTAATTATGTATAAATAAAAGTAATGTCCCGCTCCAACATGTGTACTCACAGTAGCGAGGTCTTTCTGGGTTAATCCTTTCTCCTGCCGGCCCTGCTGAATGACTTTGCCCACCTCCAGTGGAACCCTGTCATGGTGTAGCTCCTCCGTCTCTCTGTCTAGTTTGGCTGTATTTTTTGTCACAAGATGCTGTTTGTTCTGCCCCGCAGACCCTGTGGGACAATCACGCATCGTACAGACCAGTAAGGCTTTAAAATTATATTAACGTTTGCTGTGCATAGATGAAGCTAAAGAATCAAGATTAATATGTTAAAAAGGTGAAATTCACATTTCTTGCTCGTCTCGAGCTCTTCCCCGCGTCTCTGAGCAGCAGTGACTGCCTGAAGGAAAGAGAAGACCAAGACTAGTTAAATGTTTTAAATTAAAGTGGCAGTGTGTAGTTTCCATGTGCCGGGGGGGGGGGGGGGGGGGGGGGGGGGGGGTGTACATACATATATTTAAATGTAGTTGTACACAGTCATGACTGTTAAAAAACATTACGGTGATGGACGTTACAGGGTTTCCCCCAGAAAATGAGTTAAGCCTGGCGGATTCGGGCCGCCGGGGGTGGGGGTCGCGCGCTCCATCTCACTAGGGGGGGGTTTGCACACTTTCTGCTGCCGTTTCTCACTAGTATCAGCTGATGGAGGGCTCTAGTTTCGTTGCGCCATTCGTGTCAGCGGACACGGTAGGGTCGGGGAGGGGGGCAGGGCATGACGCTTAGCCTGGTGGGTGGCCAAGCAAAGCCTGGCGGGCCGCCAGGCTTATAAAGCGCTGGGGGAAACCCTGATGTTACCTGTGAAGCAGAAAGCATGCAACCTCGGCGTGACTCCTCAGACTTTGATGGTCCTTCAGTTAATTCCATCGATAGAGTGCAATGCTGATTGTAGTTTCCGGATCTGCTCTGGGTCCTGCGCCTGCTGATGGCATCATCATACTACGGCATCCCGCTCGGCCAAAATATATTGCACCTCTTTTTTGATTCTGTTCTTTCACGTATGTTTTGGGAAAAGTTTAGCAGTCTTGTTATCGAATTTGTGTTCTGTACATTCAGCCAGTCATCTAGTGTGATGTCATCTACAAGTGCAGGACCCCGAGCCAGCCAGAAGTAACCATGGCGTCCAATATGGTGTCCCCCGAAGACACTAGACCAGGCAACACCCCATTTACTTTAGACCCGATTTTTAAGGTTACATGTCCAACGTTTGGACATAATTGTATTAATTTCCAACATTTCAAGGAATATCATTAAAGGTAAAAATACACTTTGACATTTTAACTGTTTATTTGCTGGTGAACCACAACATTATCAGGCTTGCATTTAATCCCATTTGCCTTTTCACTTTCAATCATAAGATTAATATGCAACTAAAGTGCTTATCAGTGTGTGTTGATTCAGTGCAACAAAATGATACTGCTTTTACAATCAGTTGGACTACCCTATCAGCTGGTTGTGGCACAATGTGTGCAGGTCATTGTTATTTTGGGCTGTATTTGCAGGAAACTGTATATTTTTTATTCATATTTGTAGTAAAAAGAAAGATAAGTGGAATAATTGAACAAATTTAGGTATGAAGGGCTGAAATATAAACACTTTTGCTTGCTAAACATCATATTCTCTGCGACAACTTATGGCTGCGGTAGTTTAAAGTTACCTCCGCATTAAGATAAGGAAACTAAAAAAAACTTACATTTTAAAATGTCTGTTTGCAAACTGGTAATGAGTTAATGAATTATGATAAACAGGAAGTATGAACTTTACTTTCAAAACGGAATAAACAAAGTCAAGTTACACGTTTTTAAACCTAATATTTGCGAAGTAATCCTAAATAATATTAAAGACAGGAGTTTCAAAGGATTAGCATATGGCTGTTAGGAATGACACACACACACACACACACACACACACACACACACACACACACACACACACACACACACACACACACACACACACACACACACACACACACACACAAACCAAGAGGCTTTGTTTGCTTTGGTGAGAAGCCACTGCAACGAACATGTTGACGCAGTGGAGCTAACCTGTGCTAGCTAAGATTCCTCCTTAAATAATCGTAAAAAAGTCTCACGCGCTCCTCGGAAAGAAACGGGCACATGTTGACATTAAACTAAACTACGGTGTCTGCCAAAAGTCCGACTCAAAACAAAGAGCACAAACTGTTTTTACACACAGTAAACAAGACCTTAGCCAGGGCTTAGCTAAACCAGTTAACAGGAAAACCAACGAAATACACACTAAAACAACCCAATGTGAACGATTAAACTAACCTGTTTAGACTTGGCCTGCGCAGCAGTGGGCCCCTTCTTCCTCAAAACAGTTACGGTGTCCCAGTCGCTTTCTGCCATGTCGTCAGGGGTTACTCGGTGATAATCTTTGTTGTAGAAGAAAATAGTTGGTCTGAACACTGAAACCACTATTTTACAGAAGGTTGTGCCACTCCAACGAGACAGCTCCTTCCAGAATTATCATCCACACGCGGTCTGCCGGTCTGCCAAAGCTTTATTTATAACTGGCCGCGGTACACTGACAGAACGCTGGCGTCCAGCAGCGCCCTCTGCTGGTCGAGCAATACATGAAGGATTTCACTTGTTAATTACAAAATTACATCACTGTTGTTTTTTGGTCATTCCAGAGTATTAACAACAAACCCTAAGAAATGAAATACAGACGTTTTGGTTAATAATCTTATAATTTACACAAAATATGATTTACATAAATGCCGATATTACAACATATACAGGTGCTGGTCATAAAATTAGAATATCATGACAAAGTTTATTTATTTCAGTTTTTCCATTCAAAAAGTTAAGTCTTATATATTATATTTATTCACTACATGCAGACTGAAATACTAATTATATATAAAATGTTTATTTCTTTAATTTGACATCTTATTGGGGGCCTCTGCCCTACCTCCCTGGGCGTCATGGGCCGGTGTCTTAGCTGCTGCCGTGGATCTGTTGCTGTCGAGGCAGATGGCTCTGCTGATGTGTCGTCCATTACCTGACCCATCTGAACTCAGCCTATTGTTTACTCTGTTGTTCACGTGTGTGTGTGTGTGTGTTGTACATTCACCTTGGAAATTGGTTGCGGGGGTGGGGGGGTAATTGTCATTTGTTTTATACTTGGGGAGGGGCTAGGATGGGAATATGGGATATATGGGGCCATTTTAATCTGTGAAGCACTTTGAGTTGCATTTTTTTTTGTATGAAAAGTGTTATATAAATCAAGTTGATTTGATTTGTTACGAAAATATTTTAAAACTATCAGATAATCCCCTTGCAATTAGGCTTTATGCTTTCACGGGACAGCTTACACTTTCTTGAACCTTTATTAATATATATATATATATATATATATATATATATATATATATATATATATATAAATATATATATATATAAGATTTGTATGTTTTTTATTTTTAAACTCATGCTTTTGTTCTTTTATTTTATTGTATATTTGATAACTATGTCTGCCACCATACGATTTAGCTCTCATAATTTGGTATCTTGTAGGTGTGAATTTAAGTTTTGGGTTCTTGTATAGTTATTGTTCCTACTACGTAAATAGTTAAAAAACACTAATTACATCAGAAAGGTATGTTAAATCACCACACAGACTATCTGATTGTCACATGACATGTACATGCATCTGCCTGCTACAAATAAAGGATGAAATTTACTGATGTAAAATTATTTGCATTGATTTGCAATGCCGTCTTACACTGATTAATAGGTTCTAGTAAATGTATTTTGTATTTATCGTATTTGTGAATGTCTCTTCAGACACTTTAAAGTTTCATATTCTTTTATAAGCACTTTGAGTCATGTTTTCATTATAAGAAGAAAAGAAGAAGAAAATATCATTTCTATAGCACCTCGCAAGATAAAAATCTCGAGGCGCTTCACAAAAACAAAAAATGTAAAAATATAAAAGAATTTAGAAAATGGTAAAAAATATATTTAAATGAGCAAAAAATAGACAATTGTGATTTAAAAATGTTAAGAAAGAGTGACTAGGAAAGAGGGAAATCAGTGGATCCTGAGGAAGGTGGAATAGGTGGAGAGAGCAGATTAAAGAGAGAGTGGTGAAGAAGGTCATACAAAAGCCAGCTTGAACAGGTGAGTCTTCAGCTGCTTTTTGAAGGAGACCACTGAGTCCACTGATCTCAGGCTCAGGGGGAGAGAGTTCCAGAGTCTGGGGGCCACAGCAGCAAATGATCTGTCAACTTTGGTCTTTAGCCTGGTGCTGCACAACCAGTAGGCTTTGGTCACTGGACCTCAGGGACCTGCTGGAGGTGTAGGGACTAAGATCACCAATGTAAGATGGTGCTTGTCCATGTAAGGCCCTATAGACCAGAACCAGGATCTTGACATGAACCCTGAAGTTGACTGGCAGCCAGTGAAGCTGGAGGAGAAGCGGGGTGATGTGGGTGTGGTATAAAGCTGCTATATAAATAAATCTCGGTTTATATTCAAGATGACCAACTGAAGTAGCTGTATGACGACTTGTGTAATGTGATAATCGGTGCACAATGTGGACATGTATTGATATTTTAATCTAAAATACTGGTTAGATCATTTCACAAAGACTACACGAAAATCATATTGCCACACTGTATTTTTTTTCTTTATTACTTCTTTGCTGTTGCAGGTTTGTGGTCACCAGTTACAGGACAGTTCTGAAGCAGCATCGCTGTTACGCCGCGTGCGATTAGGGGACCAGCCAAACTCAGACAGGACATCGTCAGCCTGGTGGGAACGTCCAAAACGATAGCTGCGTCTGGAATCGTGTCTCGATGGCCACGCGCGAGGTTTTGGATTCATCTGGAAAAATCATTTTAAAAATAACGTACAAATAAGTGCAATGTCCATGCATTTCTTGTTCATATTAACATTTATTACTGAAAATAATTTTTCCCCACCTGAAGAAAAATTGTTGTGTTCACATGGAGAGTTTCCACTCGCTCAGACAAATGCTTCAGCCAATCCAGGTGGTCGGTAATGCACTGGCTCAGATCATTGTTAGTCTGTCAGGAGAGAGAAAAGATGCCAGTAGCCATTTAGCACAGCAAAGATGTGTTCTCTATATAACAGCCGTTGATTGTAAACAAGGATTAGAACTAATGTACTGCAGATAAGTTGTCCCTCAGCTCAAAGGCACCAAGACGAGCATGTTCCAGCTTGTCAATCTGCTCTTTTAATCGATCATCAAGCTCCTGCATCATCATCAAACCCTCATCAGGCTTCACAGCACTCTTCTTCGCCATTCTGGGTCACAGGCACGGACCTGCTATTAAAGAAAACATAACAGTTAACAAAAAAACATCTATGAGAACAAATGCTAACAAACAAACAAAAATTACTTGGTTCTAGGGCTAGGCAATAAATAGAAAATGTATCGTTATCAAAACTTCTGACTCTTATCGTGATAATTTTTTTCATGTCAGTAAATTTGCTAATAAAAAAATGAAAAGATGTGTGTAGGTTGGCAACACTCATGTCCCTTTAAGAAGCTGAACCACCTTGAATCATGTAAAAATGTGACTCAATGTAATACATGTGACAGCCCCATCTAGTGGACAACTTTTGTTTCTGTGCTTACCTGTAGTTATCGTCCATTCATCGTTATCGAGGTGAAATCCTCAATATATCATGATACTGATTTTAGGCCGTATTGCCCAGCCCTACTTGGTTTAGTTTATTTATTGGATTATCTCAGAAAGATCTAAAAGATTACGTTTTGGTGATTAAGATGTAAACTCACACTCAAGCAAACATTTAATTATTTCATAAAAATACTTCCTGCCAATTAAAATATGTGCTTCATGATCAATTCCCTATTGGAAATTTGAACAAGAGATATTCCATAGTGAAGTTTAGTCTGTCGCCATAATCCTGGTGTTAGTTAAGCGGGGAAAAAGCATTTTGTAACCAGCCCAATCATTCTCTTATCTGGCAGTATTCTGTTAGCTTTAGCTTAGCGTACACAATGTAAGTGAATGGTAACAGCTAGCATTTGAAAACGTCATTAAAGTTACTCAATTATGATCCTAATTTGTCTGGGTGTTTTCATTAATCACACACTGCAAATGAAAATAAGTAGCACGAAGAAATTACAGGGGTCAATTTAGACTTGGGACTAGACCTACATTATGTAGAATACATTAAGTGCCTGTCCCGTAACCAGATGGTTGCAGGTTTGAGCTCCATCTGTTGCAGTCGTTGTGTCCTTCCTTAACCCGCCTTGCCTGCTGGTGGTAGTCGGAGGAACTGGGGCACTAGAGTACGGCAGCTTCACCTATCAGTGAGCCCCAGGGCAGCTCTGGTTACATTGTAGCTCATCACCACCAGTGTATGAATGTGTGTATGTTAATGACTGTAAAGTGCCTTGGGGGTTGGAGGACCCTAGAATGCACAATATCAAATACAGGCCATTTACCATTATTTCAAAGTGCCAGTGCAAGGCGCAAGAGCAGCCCCAGATGTCACCTACTTCTGTAAACACAACAGCATGAGCTGCACTGACCTTCTACTGCCATAGTTTGTAGTAGGGCTGGGCAATAAATCAAAAATGTTTCGTTATCAAAATTTCTGACCTCGTGATAATTTTCCCAATGTCAACAAATCTGATACGAAAAAATGAACAGATGTGTGTAGGTTAGCAACATCCATGTCGCTTTAAGATGCTGTACCACCCTGAGTCACATTAAAATGTGACTCAATGTAATACATGTGACAGCGCCATCTAGTGGATAACTTGTTTCTGCGCTTATCTGTAGTTATCGTCCATTTATCGTTATCGAGGTGAAATGCTCAATATATCGTGATATTGATTTTAGGCCATATCGCCCAGCCCTAGTTTGTAGGGATGCACCGATATGAACTTTTGGGCCGATACTGACATCTGAAAACCAATTATTTCCGATATTAATATATATGTTTATAAATACACTAACATTTACGCTTCTGAGATGATTACAAGCACTGTCCCATGATTAAACAATTACACATAATCACCCCTCACCTTCTGAAACAGATACACAAACGGAAACAAGATGGAAAACATATCGGTTGTTGATTTTGGCCCAGTTTTCCTTATCGGACTGATATGTTGAAAAATGACCAACATCGGCCGATACCGATATTGAGGCCGATATATTGAGCACCCCTAATACTTAGGTATGTTGGGAAAAACCTGGTCTGATGCGAAGAGATGGCATCCATCCCTCTTTGGATGGAGCAGCTCTTCTTGCTAGGAGCATGGCCAATTTTATTAGTCCTCCATGACAACCCAGGGTCCAGACCAGGAAGCAGAGTCGTAGTTTAACACACCCCTCTGCAGCTTCAGTACTGTTACCCACCCACTACTCCATAGAGACAGTGTCCTGCCCACGGCCAAAATCACACAGATTAAAAATCAGTCTTAATAAAGCAAATCATGGAAATCTCATAAATATTAGAACAAATTCAACTGAGCAGAAAACTAGAAAAGTAAAATGAGGGTTATTGAACATTAGGTTTATTTTTTCTAAGACTTTGTTGGTTAATGACTTGATCTGTGATAATCAGATTTCTTTGCTCTCTCTCACAGAATCCTGGCTGCAACAAGAGGACTATGTTAGTTTAAACGAGTTGACTCCTAATTATTTAAATCATCATTTTGCTTGAAGTACAGGGCGAGGAGGAGGAGTAGCAACCATTTTTAATTCAGACCTTTTAATCAGTCCCTTACCAATTAAGTTACAGTTATTTTGAAATTCTTATTCTTAGTTTTCCTAATCCAGATTGCAAAACTGTAAAACCACACTTGTTTGTAGTTTTATATCGTCCACCAGGCCCTTACTCTGTGTTTTTGGATCAGATCTCTGATTTTTTATCTGATTTGGTGCTAAATACTGATAAGGTCATTGTAGTAGGGGACTTTAACATTCATGTGGACATTGAAAATGATAGCCTCAATGTAGCCTTTAGTAATATCTTAGACTCAATTAGTTTTACCCAAAGAATACATAGCTCCACCCACTCCTGCCATCATACATTAGACCTTGTGCTGACTTATGGCATAGAGTGTGAGGAAATAACGATCTTTCCACATAATCCAGTCCTCTCGGACCACTTTCTGATAACCATTGAGTTTTTTGTAACTGAGTTCTCGAGAAAGTATGAAAGTAAATTTCACTATAGTCGGTCTCTATCTGACAACGCAGTTGCATCTTTTAAAGCAACTGTTCCAGCTTCACTGTCCTCAGCATCTCAGAGGAACGTAGAAGAGGTCAATATTTTTATTTCTAGCCCTTCACAAATTGATGATCTAGTTCATAATGTTATTTCCTCTTTACGTGTGGCATTAGATGATGTTGCTCCTTTAAAAAAGAAGGCAATTAGGAATGGGAAGTAGGCTCCCTGGTTTAATTCTTATTTATGAGCTTTAAAACAAAACTCTAGAAAATTGGAGAGAACATAGCACTCTACACACCAGGAGGAGTCCTACTTATCCTGGAAAAATAGTCTTGTGCTTTATAAAAAAAAGCTTCGACAAGTTAGAACTGCTTACTTTTCAGCGCTAATTGAAGAGAATAAAAATATTCCAAAATTTATTTTCAGTACAGTTGCCAAACATACACAGAATCTTAGCTCTGAACCATCTATTCCCTTAGCCCTCAGCAGCAATGACTTTATGGGGGTTTTCACAAGTAAAATTAATTCTATTAGAAACAAAATCATTAGCATCCTCCCTAATGTGATTTTTTCTTCCTCAGTAAGTGAGGCAGCATCAGAGGTAACTGTAGAACCTCATCTGTGCTTAAACCATTTTGATCCAGTTGAGCTTTCAGTTATCAAAAATATTAGCTTCATCTAAACCTTCAACTTGCATTTTAGATCCAATCCCAACCAAATTATTTAAAGATGCATTTCCTTTGGTTACTGCCCCATTCTAGATATAATCAATTTATCCTTAGTAAATGGATATGTACCACAGGATTTTAAGATTGCTGTAATCAAACCTTCACTTAAGAAGCCTTCTCTGGATCCAGATGACCCAATGAATTTTAGACCAATATCTAACCTTCTATTTTTGTCCATTCTATCCTTGAGAAAATTGTGGCCATCCAAGTATGTGAGCATTTAAACACTAATGATCTGTTTGAGGAATTTCAGTCAGGTTTTAGAGCGTATCACAGCACTGAAACTGCTTCAGTGAAAGTTACAAATTATATTCTCATGGCCTCATATAAGAATCTTGTGTCTGTTCTGGTCTTGTTAGACCTCAGTGCTGCCTTTGACACAGTTGATCACAATGTTCTTTTGGAAAGGCTTGAATATGTTGTAGGGATCAAAGGAACAGCGCCAGGCTGGTTTAAATCCCACCTGTCTGATAGATTTCATTTTGTAAATGTACATGGCAAATCTACATACTCCAGGGTTACTTGTGGAGTACCACAGGGTGCAGTGCTTGGACCAATTCTTTTTACTATATACATGCTCCCAATTGGTAAAATCATTAGACAGCATGGGATAAACTTCCACTGTTATGCTGACGATACTCAGTTATATTTATCCGTTAACCCTGATTAACCTAATCGGTTAGTTAGATTACAGGCTTGTCTTGAATAACTTAAAAAAATGCATTACTGAAAATGACTGACGTTCTCATCTTTGGACCAGAAATTCAGAAAAGGAAATTGCTTAGTCAATCACCTGACCTGAATGGCATAAAATTAGTCTCCGAAAACAAAGTAAGGAACCTTGGTGTAATCTTTGATCAGGACATGTCTTTCAATTCCCAGGTTAAACAGGTTTGTAGGATTTGCTTTTTCCACCTTCAGAATATTGCTAAGATTAGATGCATCCTTTCAAAGAGTGATGCTGAAAAACTAGTTCATGCATTTATTACATCAAGACTGGATTACTGTAATTCATTACTCTCAGGAAGTCCACAGAATGTAGTTAAAAGTCTTCAGCTTGTCCAAAATGCTGCAGCTAGAGTTCTGATGAGAACTAAAAAGAGAGATCATATCTCTCCTGTCTTAGCTTCCCTACATTGGCTGCCTGTTAAATTCAGAATAGATTTTAAGATCCTCCTTCTCGCAAATAAAGCTCTTAATAAACAAGCTCCATCATACATCAGTGACCTGATTGTTCCATACGTTCCTAACCGAGCACTTCGCTCTCAGACTGCAGGTTTACTGGTGGTTCCCATAATATCTTAAAATAGGATGGGAGGCAGATCTTTTAGTTATCAGGCTCCTCTCTTGTGGAACCAACTCCCAGCTTCTGTCCGTGAGGCAGACACCTTGTCTACTTTTAAGACTACGCTTAAAACATTTTTATTTAATAGGGCCTATGGTTAAAATCTGATGTTAGCCTAGATCTGGACAAGAGTAGAGGGAGGTGGAGTGTACAGTCGGTAAAGACGGCTCTCCCTTGCCCTGCCTCCAACATGCCTCCATCTAAAAGGCTAGGTTATCCAGAGTTATCTCTGTAGTTATGCTGCTATAGGCTTAGACTGCAGGAGGACACACTGACCATTTTCCACACTCTAATACTTTCTTCTATAATCTGCTCTTTAACTGTATTATTTCCTGCAATTTCAGCTGTTAACTTTATTTTTTCTCTAAGTGTTTTTCTCCCCAGAAGAAGATACAATGATGTTCTGCTGAGCTGTGGTGCCCTTGTGGAGGGAGCCATCATCTTGAACACTGTTGCTTACCGTTTAATCATTCTCCCTTTCCTGATAATAACATTTTACTTTCCTTGACATTAAATGTGCTACTACTAGTTTACCCGTTTAATTATAGATTCACTAGGATAAATACAATAAAGTTTATCTCGCACCAAATAGAATATTTACTAAGAAATCACAATGTAACCATAGACACATTACATGGTGTCAGTGAAGGGAATAACGCCGTTTAAAATAACGGCGTTCTTTTTTTGGGTAACGTAATAATCTAATTAATTACATTTCCCACTGTTGCAATGCCGTTACCGTTACTGGGGATGGAAGGTTGTGCATTACTATGTGCTTGTCAAATGTTGAGCAACAGTGTGAGGCTTTCTGACCGCCACACTTCAGCTGCAGCCAGGGAGAGAGAGGTGTCGGTAACGCACTTACAAACACGATGAAGATTGGCCGGGTGGGTGAAGACCCTCAGTGCGCTCACTGTCTCAGTCACTACATGCTGTAGACACAACAGAGCAGTGATGGGAATGATGCTATTTAAAATAACTGCGTTACTAAAAATATATATGTTTTTCAGTAATGAGCAATCTAATTAATTACCGTGTTCTTTTATCAAAACGTTGTTTCTGTTACTGATAAGGAAATGCGTGCGTTAAGCAGGGCGGTGTGTTGAAGCTGTCATCAGCTGATCAGGAGCTAAAGAGGTAGATGTTTTCATCCAAGCGCATCACGGCTGTGAAGAACGAGGAAGACGTGATGAATAGTCTACGGCTGCAGGTGTGGATCTGCAGCCATGCCCATCTTAGCATGACAGCGGGACATCCCGAAGGTCCGTTCACCTCTTCAACACTCAGACGTCACGATCTTCTACCTTCCTAGATGATCCAGCTGTAACCTGTTTCTGATCATATCTTTAGTCCTGCTGTAACACTGGTTGCATCAGTCTCAGACGTCATGGTGCTCAGGTGTTATCAGAACTACCTGTGTGTCTTTACCACCCAGCTTCAGCTCTTCTGTGGTTGGGTCTGACCCAAGTTAGTAAATATAAGTCCTCCATCAGATTTGTGCCTCTTCTAGTGTCATTTTAAAGGATTTTATTTATTTGTATAACCGATACTAGATTACCAGCAACAGAAATGCTACTAAAAACACACAATTATGTGAAGCTGGAAAAATTAAAATACTGTGCAAAATTACATTTATTTCTGTAATTTAACTTGACTGAGAGACCATTTAAAGGCTCAGGAACCTTTACAAGTGTTTCTATTTGCAATTTTAAATTTTAACTGATTGGGGTCTTGTTAAATATCCTGTTAGTAGTTCCTCCTGTTAAGTGCTTATTTATTTAAATTATTCAGGTTTATAAAAAACATTTGGACTTACATTTTATTATGTTCCAGTCATTAATCATTTATATTTCACTATTGTAGTAAATTACAGTAAATTAAGTAAGTTTAACCAAGAGGGGAACCCATTTTTCTTGCATTCTTTAATGAAAAAGTAACTAAGTAGTTATTTTTCTTTATAATTAGTTACTTTTATAATGGCCTGTATTTGATATAGCGCCTTCTAGAGTCCTATAACCCCCCAAGGCGCTTTACAACACAATCAGTCATTCACCCATTCACACACACTGGTGGGGATGAGCTACAATGTAGCCACAGCTGCCCTGGGGCACACTGACAGAGGCGAGGCTGCCGAGCACTGGTGCCACCAGTCCCTCCGACCACCACCAGCAGGCAACGTGGGTTAAGTGTCTTGCCCAAGGACACAACAACAGCGACAGACTGAGCGGGACTCGAACCAGCAACCTTCCGATTACGGGGCGAGCACTTAACTCCTGTGCCACCGTCGCCCTGAGTTATGATCTCATAACTCAGTAAGTAAATGAGTTACTTTTTGACAAAGTAATTAGTAACTATAACTAAATACTTTTTAAAAGTAGCATTCCCAACACTGCTTGGTATATATGGTGTGTGTGTGTGTGTGTGTGTCTGCTCTGTCTTCTCGATCCCCAGTGAGTCAATTCAAAAATACTTTATTAATCCCAGAGGGAAATTAGAATCGTGGAGGATGGCTGCTTATACTGTGCCAGGATCCTCTAGAGGTTTATTCCTGTTAAAAGGGAGTTTTCCTCTCCATTGTCGCTAAATGCTTGCTTAGTATGAGGATTGCTGTAAAGTCACTGACACCAGCCAGTGACTTGATGCAATTTGCTGGGTTCCTTATATAGGAAACTTTTTTCTGATTAGCTTAATTAACTGACCTGTATTGGACTGTTTATTATGTGTAATGGGGAACCCAACTGGGTCCAATACAAAAAACCCAGTGTGACCCCCAGGTGGGGCTGATGGGTACATTTGGATGGGTCACACATGATGGAGTCATACCTTTAATAATCCGTCGATTCGTTTTAAATTCATTAGTAATGTAAAAAAAAAAAAAAAAACAGTGGGTCAGTATGTTTCAGCTTATCTGATAGTCGATCCGAAACGTGTTTAAATATACTGCTGAATTTACTTCTGGTTTTTAAAAATTAACTTTATTCCCCCTGACGGAGATAAAAGGACGAACTTTTACCGAAAACTAGTGTTTCAAATGTGCGCGCGCGCTCTCGTTTATGTCCCGCGTTTTACACAAGACACGACAGCTGGGGCTCGTGAGCAAATCTAGGAAACAACAGTTACCTTGTTGATCTGCAGCAACAGCTCTGAGTAATCAGTGACAACGAATCCTTCGACCGAATAGCAGGTTCGCACGGTCTTCTTCCGCCTTCACCTCATTCTAGTAGGTCCAGTCCAGACTCGCCCTTTTTGTTCAGAAAAAATCCGCGGAATGATACGTCTGACGTCACGGTGCTGCGAGGCACGTTTATGGCTATAATTTAATAAGAACAAGAAAAGGTGCATTTATGCTGCTGACAAACTTTGTTTCATAACGTTTGGTAGTTTCTTCCATTCTGAGGATAAAACCCACCCTTTAATAGAATCGTATGTTTTCAATAGAAAGAACAGGAAAAAAGTGAAATAAAAAAAATCGTTGTCACTAAATTTTATATTAGAATAATTCAGTTTTGTAAACCAAAAAGGTACAAACGTAAAATCCAGTATTAAACAAAACTGGGCTTTTTAGACACATCTAAAAAATTTAATTTCAAATAAAAAAACAATGGTCTGATTCAAACCTAACTGCATTGTTACACACACACACACACGTTATGCATTTAGTTCTGTGAAATATATATTTTTTGTTGAAATCAAAATCAAGTACATCTAATTATTTTCTCCTAAGGAGGAACACAAAAGATGGACGATGCTCAATAGATTTGAAAAGTTTGTTATTTGTGGGGCTACAACACATACAAATGTAAAACTCTAGAAAGAGTTGGTTATGTTAATTTTTTTAAGCTGGCAGTTTGTGTTTGGCAGTAATGCTGGTGTGTTGATCCACAGGCTGTCTTATAACACTGATCAAATATAAACATGTAGGAATATGTGATACAATACTGACACCTTACCATGAACACATTTTACTAAACTTTCTGCTACCACAAATAAAGTTAAGGCATGGATGTTTATACTAAAGTGACTAGACTCAACAATACATTTAAGAAATCACAACGGCTTTATTTTTCTTTCAGTAAGCTCTTTTTTTAACCTTTAAATCAAGACTGAGTAATGACCAAGTATCTGAAAGGATAACAGCTGTAGGGTAAACAAAACGTTGGATCAGATGTAGAAAGCATGGGTCCTCTGACAAAAAAAATCTCAAAGGTACAAAAACAAAATGACATTTTTGTGGAGCAGATACAATAATAAGCATCAAGAACCTTTGTAGTTGAGGAAAATCAGTTCATTCTGGTGAACACAGCAACCTCTTGTTCAACATGAATTCCTTTACAGTGCCACAATATTTAAAATGAAATGTGGTTAAAGCCTCTCCTTACCGGCAACACCCAACTGTACACTTAACTATGCATTTACATTAAACCAGTGAGATCGTCATAAATAGAATTGTTTTGTAGTGTCAGGGAGCATGAGGGCAAGCGGTAACATCTAGCCAGTAAGAGCATCGGTACTGTGAAGCACAAACCCTTCTCTAAAGACAAAAACTGTGTGGATCACAGCTTCACATCAAACCAAACACCTTTAAAAGTCCTTCTTAGTCTGCTGAGGGACATAAAAACAACCCCCCAAAAAAATATATATAATGCAAGAGACACTGTAATAATTAGTTTCACTAAAATAAAACCTTCAACTTGCCTGATTGGGTTATAGTTGGGTTGCATTTATTGCCAGTGCCATTTCAAAGCTAATACATTTCCCCACAGCACGGTTCAGAAAGATTTAAAACAAATTTAATGAGGAAACTCTCCCAGGAGCCTAAAAACCTTAAAGGAAAGATCAGAAAAATGCCTCACAATGAGGGGAGTGGAAGAAAATAATCATCACTTCAATCACATGTGTGACAGACACAATTCATTCATTACAACTCCAAGAAGAAAGGCGTCGCCTCAGCGAGTGTCAGTGAGACATCCGAGGGTCCAGCTGCTCCGGCTGGACCAACACCCCAACAGCGAGTGTCTGCAGAAACGATGCCGAGCTCAGGGACAGTCTGTGAAATGTTGCCAGCTTCAGATCCTGCATGCTCAGCTCTGCACACGCCGCTCGCTGCCAGTCAGGTTCCCACGGAAGCAACGTGATCTTGGTAAAATGTTCATTTTTTTTCTTTTAGTTTCCGACAGTGAGCAACAGAATGTAAGAATTAAAGAACAGTTAAAAGATTTCTAAGCAGCTTAGCCACAGCTCGTAGGTTGTGTTGGGGGGTGATTCTTTATGCTGAGTCGGCATGCTAGGATGTTCAAAAACTGGAGTTACCGGTATTCATTTTTAATAAGTTAATGAAACAAGTCCGTCACATGTGGCTTTGATGGGTGGTGATGACGTTTATTTGCCAGCAAAATACAAAAAAAGGACAAACGTGCCCCACTGCGTCTCAAAGTTGGTAAAAAGAAAACGGCGCTCTGCCTCTCCTAGGACGTTCTAGATCAAGTGTCTTGCCTGCTCCTGAGAGCTACAGTTCATACAGAGGAAGTAAAGTTTGGCAAAAACAGTATGAAAAGTGAAACGTCAGTTGGCCATTTCCCCACATACCAGGAAATACACAAATCTCTCTTAACCAATCTCCTTAAAAAGGGTCTAGTAATAAATTAAAGAGAACCTTGAAGAGATCTGCCTAGAAGATGGTCTGTGTGTATGCTTTCTATATATATATATATATATATATTTATATATTTTATATTTAATATATCTCTATACTTGGTGTGACATAATAAGTGTCCAGTTCTGGAAGTCCAAGAAGCATGTGTAGGCCCCTCGCCTCGGGATGAGCTGGGATTCCGAAGGCTCACACCTGCGTGGAGGAGCGTTGTGTGGGCAGGCCCGGTGGTGGTGAGGAGGTTTCAGGTCCATTGTTACGCCTTGCCCTCCTCTACTTTGACAGCCTGGGGTTTGATGGCTCCTGTACGTGCTGGCTTGCCTTGACCTGTGGAGGCCAGGGGCTCCTGGAGTTTGCTGGTCATTGCCCCAGACGGCGATTTGCCCTCCCCCACTGCTTTGCGCACTTCTCGCAAAGCTTTACTCTACAGAAAGAAAAAGGCAGACGTACGTACTAAGGTCTGGCACACTGATGACAGACATACAGTTACACAGGTTTTAAGGCTTTCCACCGGAAGCGTAAGTCTAACATAACGTCCGTGAACCGTAGTATGCAGCTAATCGCCGTTGTTACAGTTGACGGGTGTGTTCCCATTGGCTGTGAAGCGGTGCGTTTGGAACACGTCCAACAAGTAGTGTTGCATCGCTCTGCTAAATTTACCCTTCAAGCTCAGCAGTTCAGATCGGGCAAAACCAGAAGTCAAACAGCAGAAGTGTAAAACATCCAGCAACTTTCAAATTAGAAGACGCTAACAGATTTCCAGTTGCATAACTCGTTAAAGAAAAACTGTGATTGAGGTAAACAACAGAAAATAATCCACAGACCTTTTTGGATAAATGCTGCTGTCTTTCTCTGTTATCGCGTGAACTGCTGAAATCACGAGTAATCTTGCAAATCTCCTGTGATTTTATGACCTGATGTGACAAGCTGTGTGGTACGCTTTCACTGCCGTGTGTGAAATGCTCCCAGTGGATATGGAAGCGTCGCTGAGCTCTCGGGGAAAACATATCCATTACATTTGGTGTTGCTTACGCATCCAGTGGAAAGGCCCAGGTAAGACAAACGGTTTAACCGTATCGATTACTTCTAGCTGCTGTAATGGAATCTCCTGTATACTCTGATAAAGTACATAAACTTTTCTAGTTTGACTGGAAAGATTTGACTTCAAGCTAATTGTTCAGTTGAAACAACAAAAGTGGTATGAGGAAAATAAACACACAGCATTGAAAAATGCTCACAGAACATAAATTACACTTTTCTATTAGTTTATCACAAGAAAGTTTAGTTCAAATGCAAACTTTCCCCGATCATTTCTTCTTTACGGCACATTTACTCTACAGAGAAGTCACTCAAGCCACTGTGACTGTTAGCATGTGGAGGCATTTTAGGTAAATGCAATGAAATGATGTCATTAAGTGTCCAGAAAAAAACAATGTTAAACGTATTCTGGGAGGTAATTTGTCAGGTGAATTTTTGGGACATGTTCCACATTCCAGTGATGTGACAGTGCAGCCCGGCAACTCAAACAAGGAAACCAAGGCTATGTTCACATTGCAGGCAAAAGTGCATCAAATCCGATTTTTTTCCCCCACGTGACCCATATCTGATTTTTTATGACGGTCTGAACAGCAAAGATGTCATTTTCAAATCCGACCCAGGTCACTTTCTTAGGTGAAATTCTGGCGATACGATACGTACCACGGTACAGGGGAGACGATACGATACGATACATCACAATATATCGCGATACATTCAGTCACACGATATTAGCGATTTTTTTTTAGATTGAATTTATTGTAAGAAAGTTCAATAAACAGTCCAAACTGATACGCAGCCTGTTTAACATGCGGTATCTGAAACATAATAAAGGGGTTTACATTTCAATGGTGCAAACAAAAATCATAGCACACTTCTGCCAACTAGTCGGCAGTTGAATTGCACCAAAACAAAATAAAATACATAAATGTTTGCATGTAAATTCTCCAAAAATTTGATACACGGCTTTTCAATATCGATATAAAATTGCAGGAAAAAAGATCACAAAATAATGCCATAGCGATATTTTCCTACATCCCTAATATGTGGTACTGATTCAGATACATAACTAATGTTTTTGAAAGCGACTGCAGTCTGAACGGCCATGTCACATTAAATCCGTGTCTTATGTCACCGAGTCAGCGGAGGTGAGCGTCGTGTGTTGACGTTCCTGGGGAGAAGCGCTGACAGAAGGATTCAGAGGTTTGTCTGGACATTCTGTCAAGATTAGGAATTGAAAATACAGGAGAGCCTGAGAACGGGAGCGGGACGTGATGCTGGAGCGAGCGTCTCACTGGTCTCGGTCTCTGTGGGAGTGGAGTGGGGGGGGGGGGGGTGGGGGGGGGTCTCAGTGAATTGACTTAATACCACAACATTATAATTACTGGAACACAATAATGATTCGGGAAGAGGGCGGGAACAAGGCTTAAAATTGTTTACGGTTTTTAAAACAGTTTCCAGCCTCAAAAAGGAGACTCGACAGGTGTGATCCTGAAATTGTGGATGAACCGTCAGTGAAGCCCTTCACATCACAACTCCGCCTCTCTCTCTGGTTTTGACTCCACTGAGTGTGACTCCTTGTGTTCTGCGAATGCGGGTCGCTTTGAGGCCGTGGAGCGTTCACATTGGAGAGTTTGATACCGCATTTCAGTCATAATGTGAACACACATAAAAAAAAAAAGATTTACTCAAAAAAAAAAATACAGAATCAAGCATCAAGGCCTGCAGTGTGAACATAGCCAAAGGCCCTTGAGAACATTATGGAAACTCCCAGTCTAAGCCCAAAGAGAAACTGGCTACAATCAGCATTTAAAAGTCTAAATACACGCCTGTTTAAAAGCTGATTGGACGTCACTTTCAACTGTTATTTACAAGAAAAGAAATGAAGTCATTTATGCTATTAACTCCTCAGGCTAAATCATCTAAAGGCTATTCTATGAAACACGAACATTCACTTCAATTTAAAAGCAGGAAAAATGAAAGAGAAAAAGAAAATAAAAAAAAATAAATTACCTATATTTACAGTGGGTGGCTCACCTTCATGCCATCCTCTGGCCCTTTGACAGGGGGCTCAGGGACTGAAGGGGGGGTGGAGTGGGGAGGGTCACGACCGGAATTAGCAAAGGGGGGGGAGCGGATGATGACAGGCTTGTTGACCTGCATGACAGGTCGCTGGATGGGGTTGGGAAATGGACCTGTGGTGGGGGGGCGCATGTGCATTACCATGCTGCCTTGAGCAGGAGGGACCTGTTGGTGAGGAGAGAAGATAAGGACGGGGGGAGGGGCAAACAATGACAAAAAACTATCATTAAAATCTTGTCAAATTTCAGAACATGGTCCAAATCCGTGTGTGTGTTCTGTTTCTATACTGTGTTCTAATTTAAATGAGGAGAGGTTTAATATAAACATACCTGCTGAGAAAAATGAGTAGGCAGAGGCCCCACAGGCCCACCAGGACCAGAGGTCTTCCCACTGGGGCTTGCAGAACCCGGTCTGAGGAGGAAAAGCACCAACAAAAGAGAATTTTTTAGAATGTTTTAATATAAACAAGAATTGTGGAAAAATAATCTGTGTAAGATTTTATGAACACATTTGTAATCACCTATAAGAACCTCCAGATAAGCCTGGGGAATGATTCGATTTATCTGAAAACTGGAAACCTTTGATTTCCAACTGTGAGCTCTGAAAACGGGACGACAAAAAAAGTTTACACAAGTGATCACTGAGGGTTTCCTTCTACTAGGAGTGAAAGTACGGGAATTCTAGTTCTAATATTGTCAAAGTGCTCATGTGGTCACCTGAAAGAGACTCACCTCTCTGCTGCCACTCATGACAGCAGGTTGGGAGCCTGGTGGTAGCATCCGGCGCGGCCCTCCCACCGACAGGTTCTGTCCCTGCTGCAGCTGGATGGACTGCGGGAGAAGGAGTTGCTGAGCTGAGCCGTAGCGCAACTGGGAGCCGGGAAGGGGCATGGTGACCTGATCAAACCAAACAATTCACCATTATCATGGGTGTTCATCCTCCTGCAACTCATCTGTTGTAACATCAGGAGTTCAGAAGCTAATTAAAAATTATAAATACACATATTTTAGGATAAATTAAGAGCTGTGTAAACGTGACCTCACCTGAATGAGCTGAGAGTCCATCAGTTGTGACGAGCCCATCCCGGGGCCCTGGCCCAGCTGGTTGTCATAGACAAGCTGCTGGTTGCCATTCATAGGCTGGTAGTGAGAGCCTGACTGTGGTTTCACCAGATCTGAGGGCTGCATCCCAGGAAAAGCTGAGTAAGGGCCCTTGAGAGGGCCCCCACCAGACAGCACCATGGGACTGGGCTGTGACAGGTTGGGGTGCATGTACACCTGTGACCTGAAAGGGGTCAAACAAGTAGAGCATAAAAGTGAAGATTCTCACTTCACTTACAGCAAACAATTAAACGCTAGGTTTTTCCTGATGTAACCAATAAAATATTGCACATCAGCGCTGCTGGTACCTGAAGGGAGGAATGGAGCTGAACATCTCCTGGGACTGAGAAACAGGCAGACCACCCCGAAGACCTAACTGAGCCTGGGCCTGGAGAGACGTGTGTAGAGAGATGGGGATCTGCTGGGCTGCAGCCGCCTGGGGGGTGGAGTGTGGTAAAGGTGTGTGACTGTAAGACAATCAGCTGGAAAAAGTCTAAGACATGATTGTTTCTTTACCTGTGGATAGGTCTGCTGCTGCGTCAAGGTGGGAGGCACAAGGCGAGGCTGACTTTGAAAAACATGGCCGTCCATGTACAAAGGAGGAATGGGGTTTGCTACGTTAGGAGGAGAAACCAAACCGTTTATAGCTGACTTTATCAACGCTGAGCCTTTTATCTCACCGGGACAGAAACTTGTAATTGTACCTTGCAAGGACATGGAAGGTGCCACTGATGCAACGGGCATTGGAGGCATGGAAACTCCAAAAGAGCTGTAGCTGACACCACTGGATGAACCAATGCTGCAGGGAGGCTGACCTCCAGATGCACCACCGCTAGGGGAGCCGTGCTCCGGAAGGGACTGAGAGTTCTCCCACGCCTTACGCGCCGACTCCATCTGCAGGAAAACAGGTTTTTAACATTTGCAAATGTGATGATTTAAACTTCACAACTCTACAAAACTATTCAAGGGATTGCTGCTTTAACGTTGCATGAAAATGTGCACAATGAAGAACAAAACTCTGAGTAAACAAAACACCTTCAAGGTGAGGTCAGCACTGGGGAAGATGGTGTTGAGGTTAATGCCAGGTTGCAGGTGGGTGGACCGCAACATAGGAATACTCTGATTTAGAGATGTCTGCAGAAAGAAGAAAAAAGCATCTGATTTACATCACTAAGTTTTTTAAGTAAGAAAGTAAAATGTATCGGTCTAGCTCAAAATCAGGTCAAACTATTCGTCACTCACATCAGCAGCGAGTGCATCTTGGAGCTTGTTAACAGGATCGGAGACGGGCACTGAGGAAGAGCACGGTGGAAGGCTAAAATCAGAGTCTTTGGCACTGACGCCAAACTCAATGGGAGGCACAGGCAGCACGGCGTCCACATGGAGATCCACACCGTTTACTGGAGTGATGGGCCCACTCTCCAGCCTGTCGACACCTTCTGAGCCCTTACGGTGCTTGAGCGAGCGCTCGTTTCCGATGGGCCCGGGTTTGTGCTGTTCTTTACTCTGCTCTGGACCAGCATCTGAGTCCTGGATGGGAGAGGACAACGTGACTTTTCTCTGGGCAACCCCCCCCCCCCCCCCCAAGACCTCTGTAAATTTACCACAGGAAAAACTCTACCTCGGAGTTGGGTTCACTTCCGGTGTAAGACACTTGCTTGGTCCACGAGTCTCCCGAAGACTGCACAGAAAGAGCTACAAGACAAACATTTGTCTTATGTAAGTAAAAACACTAAGTGCTTTACTTCTGTAGTGTATCAACTTAGCAGCAGTAACACTTCCATAGCTACCTGAACTGTTGGTCTCCCAGATTTCAGTTCCTAGATTGTTAGCAGAAATGGTTTCCTCGGGATGCTCGATGCTCATGCTTCCCTGTTTTTTGACGAAGCGTGGTGGTATCTTGGAAGTGACCGTTCTGCTTTTAACCGACACCTGGCAGGGTCAAAGGAGAACGTCGAGTTCATTTGTTCTGGTTTAGTTAATAGTTTTTATACCAGTGCAGTCACATTATACAATGCAGAGAATACATAAAGTAGTTCAGAAAAGATTTAAGTCACTGTGTCCAGTAGGGGATGGTGACAGCCAAGCCGGTTTTTTCCTTCAGCTTCAGGGTCGGTAACAAGGTGGCACCTCTGCTTGGATTTGCCGCTGTTACCGGCCACTTTTTCAAACTTTTCTCCACTAACCTCCTCCTTTCTGCCTTGCTTCTGTCTGCAATCCTTTTTGGTAGTGTTCAATTCAAAAATACTTTATTAATCCCAGAGGGAAATTGATTGCTGTAGTAGCTCATAATAATAATAATAATAATAATAATAATACTCATCATCATCATCAAGTCATCAAAGAGTTATTGTATATTACAATGGCTGTTGGCAGGAAGGATCTCCAGTAGCGGTCCGTGTTGCAGCGAAACTGAAGAAGCCTCTGACTGAAGACACTCTTCCGTTGTCGGACAGTCTTGTGAAGAGAATGCTCAGGGTTGTCCATAATTCAACAGACTACCATCTCCTATGATTGCCAGATTATTCTGCCTATTTGTTTAGGTGAGCAGCGTGCTGTCCTGGAGACAAATACTTATTCCTACCCGGATCCCTCCAGCAATGTTTATCTGGTCCCGGGAAAACGTCGGAGGAAAGGAGGTAAAAGAGCAGGAATTCAAGTGAGAAGAAGACTTCTGTTAAAGCGTGGTTTATCTAGTAAAAAAATCTTTTAGCTTCTTGTCCTTTGATGGAGACCTGAGCGCCACTTCCGCATTCCCGTTTCTCCGTCCAAGATTTCTAAGGCCTGTTCATCCTCATTCTTCAGTGGTTTCTCCTCCTTCATAAGTGGTTTTTATAAACACCGTGGATCTAATCCTGCTAATTTATGTCCACCAACTCCAGCTGTTACTGCAGTTTCTGATTCGTGCACCTCACTCAGCATGGCTCTATTGAATCGCTGTATTGAGAACAAGTCCTTCCAGCTTAATGATCCAATTCTCTCTAAAAACCAGGACTTTCGGTTTCTGACTGAAGTTTGTCAGCAAGCATCTGATTATTCTGGTCTGATTGAACTCTGCCCGAGTGGTTATTCTTTTCTTAGCCAGCCCCGGGGTTCTGGTCGTGGTGGAGGCCTAGCTATTGTTTTAGAGATCATTCTTCCATGAAGCTCTACAACCTCTGGTCACTTTGCTTCTTTTGAACTGCAGCTGATTAAAGTTGGGCATAAGGACCCATTCTACTGTACTGTGGTTTATTGTTCACCTGGTCCAAACAGTTCTTTTCTTCAGGAGTTTAGTGACTTTTTATCTTCCACTGTGAAGCTGTCCAGACTGGTGATTGTTGGCGATTTTAACATTCATGTCGACCATCCCTCAGATCATCTTTGACCACTTTGCCATAACCTTCTCCAGCCTCATGGACTCCTTCAGCTTTACTCAGCATGTTTCTAGCGTCACACACACTAGAGGACACACTGTGGACCTTGTTTTTACCCTGGGTTTAAATGCTGACAGTGTTTGTCCTGAGGACGTTTATATTTCTTATCACCATTGCATTTTATTTAACGTGTCAGTTCCTGCGTCCCCACCTCCTGCTCGTCACTTAGTTCTTGTTTTCTTAATGAGGGCACAGCTAGCAATTTTTCTGCTGCTTTTAATCCACCATGTTCTTCTGACAAGGACCCAGATTTCTTAACTTCTCTGTTTAACGAGTACTGCCTCTCCATTCTGGACAACATCTGTTCTGTCAGAAGCAGATCAGTTCCTGCAGTGAACCCTACTCCCTGGTTTAATGACAGCATTCGCAGCCTTAAGTGCCAATGCAGAAAAATTGTGCGCTTGTGGAAGAAAACCTGTCTCCACATCCATCTGCTGCATCTAAAGGGTCTTCTGACATCCTTTAACTCTGCAGTCAGAGACTCAAGGGTTGCCTATTTCTCCAAACTGGTGTCCCGGAGCAAATGGAACCCCAAGGTGGTATTTAACACCATCAGCAGCATCATCTCTCCTGCCTATCTCTGATGAAGACTGAAAACTTTCTGTCTTTCTTTGTGGACAGTCAACAGGGTTAGATCTAGCATTTCTCCCTCAGCCTTAACTCTGCTTCTCCCGACTCCAACCCGACCTGTCATCCTAGAGTTTTTAGTTATTTTTTTGTTTCTGTGAAGCACCTCGTAATTTTTATCTTGAGAGGCACTACATAAAAGATTGTTTTCTTTCTTTCCCCAGCTGAAAGCAGCAGTGAAGGTATTACAGCTGAGTGGAGGCTCTGATAATTAGTTGATATTTGACATGTCCCAGTCACAACTGAACTAACAGATCAGGGCTTGTTGTGTATTTTGACTGGAAATGGGTCAATGTGAACAGTTAACTCCTGATCTGTTGTTTTAATGAAGTTAGCATCACTGTTCTAATGATTCAAGATGGAAACGCACCAACATGTCTGCTGAACGATTCTTAAGCAAATGCCTTTATAATGTTTGCAAATGACGTATTTTCTAAGTAACTGTGTTTGATTAAGTCAGCTTCAATTGTGAATATCTACCCAAAAAAAACAAACAAATAAATAAATGTCTGACAAAAACAGTTTTGGTTCCATTTAAAATACCAAGCGTTTGCTGGCAACATGTGTTCAACTTACAGCGGCTCCTTGCTCTTTCCTCCTTCTTTCATCTTCCAGTGGGCGTCTTTGCTTTTTTGACAAGGCATCCTGGTAGCCATCTGGCCCTGAACTTTGTCCCCCTGTATCACCATCAACTATAACACAAATGGAAACATCAGTTCAATGTCATTTGTAGCTAAGCAACAACAGCAGTGATCACCATTATCTGTACAGGTGTAAATTTGTGAATCGGCATTAACTGGAATTTTGAAAAGTCTATAAATCCAAGAAGCTCACGTGGGTAGTTGCTGAGCTCATACTGGGAGAGGGGTTCGATGATGTCTGCCTTGACAGGTCCTGATTTCAGTTCCTTTCCTGAGGACTCGCTGGGCTCCCTTTCATCTGGCAGTGGTTCCATGCTGTAGACTGGACCAGAATCATCTGGGTTCCTAAGGACAGGATGGGGACAATCCAAAATGAATGAATGATAAACAAAGTGCTAACAAGCACAGTACTGGCTATTTGTGCCATGAGAAAACCTAAAAGTAACTGGCCTCACCTCTTGCAGGAAGTCCCTCCGTTCTGCCAGCTGTCAGCCCTGTTAGATGATAGAGTTGGGGGATTGTCGGGTGTGCGTACCATTTTGCTCGCTTCCAGCAGCGATGGCTCTCCTTTTCGGTTTTGCCGCTCCACCAGGGGTCTCTGACTGGAGAAGCTTCTCTTTGAAAGTTCCCTCTTTTCACCAGAGCCTGGTTCACTGTGGCCAGACTCTGAGGGAATGTCCACCTGTCCCTGTGCAGCCACGCCTCCACTTCCACTCCGCTTCTCTCTCCAGTCACCAAAGTCACTGTTGTCTGATCCGGTCTCCCACTCCTCTGTGTGACCATGCTGGCTAGAGTGCCCAGAAAAGTGGCCACTGGGCCACTGGTTTTCCCCGCTGCCTTTGGGGCGACCTGGCCAGGGATTCACAAAGTCTCCATTTATGTACTCATCACTCGTCCACTGGCTTGAACCAGGTTCCCGTTCTTGTCGTAGACGACGGAAGCGGGGAGGTTTGTCTTGACGCGGAGGACGGCGCCTCCTTAACATCTGTCTGTCGGGGTTTCCATTCTCAAAGTAGTACTCTCCTTCACGATCTTCAGAGCTATTATCTGCAAAGGAGCCGGTAAACTTGGAAGCATACTTGAGAGGCTCCCGTTCACTTGGAGGTCTGCGGGAGTAGGTAACCTCTGTCCCAGGACCATAACCGTTCTCTTGCACAGAGCCACTGTTGCTGTTAAACTGGGGTCCTCTACCTCTCCATGTATAAGTGTCTATGGATCCTTGAAAACTTCGCACGTAGCTACTGCTCGTGTTAAGTCTGGGAGGGAGAACTCGGCCTCCAAAGCCTCTTGCCCGGGTCTTTTCTCTGGAATCTGATGTCTGATCGTCTGCGTACACCTTGTTGGACCTCCAAGAGTCTCTTTCAGCCTTACGAACCTCTCCAGACTCAGCGTAACCTTCTCCATTCTCAGTTCCTTTCTGGCGGCGCCTCTTTGGAAGTTCCTCATATTCTGATGTTTCACTCAAGGTTTCGCTGACGTTTCGTCTTCGAGGTTTGCCCCTCTGATACTCATCGACTTTTACGAGGTCCCTGGGTTGAGCTCGACCTCTGCCTGTCCGCTGTACACCACTGCTGCTGCTGTTGTTGTTATATGCCCCTCTGAGGTTGTCTCCACCTCGGCCACCACGAGTTCCACCTCTGGAACTGAACTCCCTAAAGCCTCGGCCGCGGCCTCTACCCGTCCCCCTGACTGACCCAAAAGCCTGTTCTTCATCGATGAAGATCCAGTTATTGCGCCGTGGAGCCTGCAGCTCTCGGTTTTCTTGATTATCTCTGGGTAATTGAATCTTTCCAATGTTCCAGGTGTTTTCCTTAGAAAAGTCATCACCATGGGTGCTGTGAGGTCTTTCTGCTTTGCTAGGAGCTGGTGAATGACGCTGCCTTTCTTCAAGTTGTTTCTCGACAACAGGCGAGGCTGGACGCCTGCTGTTGGTAGGCTGGTTGTCCTTCTTTAAGTCATAAACATTAGTAAGGACTTCTTTCTCCAGTCGGTAGGGGACAGTTTTCTCCTCGGGTTCAGATTTAGGCTTTTCGTTCTCTTTATCTTCTAGTTTGAGAGCCTTAAGAACTGGTTTCTTGATGGGGCCAGTTCTGCGGGTCAGTGTTCGCCCACTTGTCTCAGATGGCTGGCTGACACCACTGCTGGAACTGGAACTGGCCTCAGACCACTGGCTCTGGGAATGAAGACCTCCATCTTGTTTCTGGCCTCCATCTCTCTTCCAACTTTCTTTTGGGCCACCCAATGTCTCACTGTGAGATTCAGGACCCTCTCTCAAATGTTTGTCCCTAAAATCTTGTTTTGTGCATTCGCTCGCAGAATAGTTTTGAGAGAGGCTCTGAGCAGTGGTGAGAAGGTCTTGGTCATGGTGCTTGTGTTCTTTCTCCGAGCCTAGACTTTGGTAAGCATGATGAGTGAGGTCATCCAGAGTGTGCCTCAGGCACTCACTGGCCCGTTCTTCATAGATATCCAGTTGAGAAGAGGCCACATCACCTCTGTGGAAATTGTGAAAAACAAAAAAGCTCAAGAATAACAGAACTACAAACTAACAGTTTTCAGAGTCTTAGGTTCAATGCCTAAAAGGAACTTGGAAGACGCTGAATTAATCATTTAGGTTTTACTCACTGCTAGAGTTTCAAGAAGCTTAAAAAATGAAACAGTGTCTTAGAATTGAATTTGGAAACTGCTCTGATGCTTTCCAGGTCAGTAACTAACCTGTCGCCAGACTGGCTCCTATCTGAGGTGTCATGCTGTCTCTGGTAAGGTGGAGTGAAGCTGCGCAACGGGTAGCCATCTTGGCTCCATACTGGGTAAGGCTCAGCAGACGGGGCTCGCCTCTCTTGGTGCAGCTTGGAATGACACCCTTCATCTGAACCGGGACTGTTTAGATGGTCTTGATGCATGACAGATTTGACCATTCCTGTGATAAAAAAGATAAACATTTGTGCTGTTCCCTGAACCTATAGCAGATGGAGGATCGAGCATCTCCCTGCAAATGCACTACAACAGATAAATCACCTGTAGTGACACAGCTTGAATGTTTACCTGAAGAGTGAACAGAACTGGTGTAGTAGTCCACAGGTGACTGGCTCTGGGCCACGCGGGGATCCATGAAAGGTGGCATCATCATCCAGCGGGGATCAAAGCCGAGCACATGTGGGGGGTAGTAGCCCCGCTGAGCATGACTGGAGCTTGAAGACGGAGGGTGACTGGACTGCTGCCAGTGCTGCATTTTGAGCAGGGAATCCTATTGAGTCCACAAAACAGGCACAGTTAAGAAACCATGAACAAAATCCAAAAGAGCAGGAGACTTTAGCAGAGTCAGGATCTTCTTTAAAACACAAGATGCATTTTTTGGGATGCAAATTTGACAAAGAATTATGAATATAAAACAATCTGTTTATATGATAGCACTTCTATTTCTTTAAAAAAACAAAAAGCTTCTTACAACAATGAAACAATAAATAAATGTGAAATAATGGTTAACAGGTCACAAGAGAAAACAAAGACACCTCACCTGCTGCTGGTTTTGCTGTGGCTGTTTTTGAAAGCGAGGAGGGACTGGTTTGGAGGGTTGACATCCCCTGTGGTCCTCTGATGGAGAGGAGGGCTCTTGACCATCATCCTCACTGCTGCGGTGAGTGGAGAAGCCTGACTCTTCACGATAGCTACTGCCAGGGGAGTGGACCGGCAGAAACTCACTTCCTTCTAGAAATGATTTTGATTAGAAAGAAAATCTTTAGAAGTTCTCAATTATAAAGCCCTATAAAGAGAGAAATCCCTCTCCTATGAAGAGCGAAGAACTAATGTGACCTGCATTGAGATTTTTACCTTTTGCGCTAAATTGCACGTTTTCATTAGGAGCTTTACTCTGTTCTCGGTTAGGAAAAAGTGGGACCTCTTTGCCCTCTGCCTCCTTGGGGCTGTCGTCACTACGTGATGTCTGCCTCTCAGTCTTCCCAAACTTTTCATCCAACTTTTTGAGTTTTTCAGCACATGCAGCAAGTCGTTCTTCACGAGCGCGCCTCTCCTCCTCCTCTCGCCGTCGACGGGCTCGCTCAACAGCCTCAGAAAGCTCAGGTGACACATACTTTCCCCTAGCTGGTATCTGACTCTGGGATGACCGCTGGTTATCTTCCAGGTCGACGAGCGGCTCGCTGTGATTTTTCTGCTGAGCCTAAAGGTGGTACACAAACAAATTTAATATGGTAAACAGACTAGTATGCCTTCAACTCAGCATCTTTATTTGTCCTGCTGTTATTTGTCAAAATCAAATGCAACAAGTTGAAGCAATAAAGGCTTCCAGTAAAGAGGATTCTGATGAGACTCCAATGCATTTTCATTTTTAGACAGAAAAGTAAAAAACAGCAGGTAAAAGACCTTAGAAATGCGTTGTTTGGTTACTGAAAAGTCACGTCCTTCTAGGGTTGTCACGGTGATAAAATGTAGCCTCACGGTTATTGTGACCAAAATTATCACGGTTGTCGGTATTATCGTGGTATATTTTTAAACGTGTTACATCTTCAGACAACTACATAAACCCTGTATATCAGGAAATATTGTCCTCAGTTTGTGTCTAAATTTTGCCTAAAATGTGTTATTTTGTAATTATGTTGTTTATTTGTTTACATTTTTCCCCTTTAGTCTTTAAAATAGCAATATTTGCCCATAACTTCTTATTTTTTGTCTGTTTGATGTCATCATTTTAAAAATATTAGATCAGATGATACTCAGTACTCAAGTAGCCTTCTAATCAGATACTTTTTTTACCCTTACTTGAGTAATAAACCCTATATCAGGAAAATATCATCCTCGGTTTGTGTCCTTCCAGTGAGCTTTGCAGATGTGGGAAAATGTCATCAGGCAGTAATCATTGTTAAATTCATAATTATTCTCGGAGAGAGACCAACTCTTATCTGCCCCTGGGAGCCCCATAATGCATAGCGTCATTTCAACATGGGGGTGTCCGCGACACGGTTTATATGCAGGTAGCGGCGCTGCGGCTGCTTTATATAGCGACTCGTTGCACTCTCCCTCAACCCAAATCCTCGGAGCACGCATTTTAGCTAAAACGCTAATGTTAGCTTGCCTTGCGTTGACTGTAGAGTTGTGGGTGATGGTCACGCAGATGTGTTATGAGATTTGAAGCGTTGCTGCCTTTCACAGACACTTTTTCTGCACGTGCTGCAAACAGGATAGCCGTCTTCTATCAACTGTCCCTCGGCATTCTTCAGATATCCAAAACATGCCCGTACTTCCCACTTTGTCTTCTTTGAGGGATAATAAATGTGAAATGTCCTGCGCGCTGCCGTCTCCTCCTTTGGCCATTATTTCAGCTTTAGCTTCAAGAAAGTTTTGGTTGTAAACAACAAAGTGCGCATGTGCCGCCGGCAACTTCAGCAGATGATACGGTGGCTGGTAAGGGTCACCGCGCCTACACCGCAGCCACGGTAATCCACCGAGATAATATATCTTTTTAAAAGCAAGACGGTTACTATTATTGTCAACTTTTTTTACCGGGGTTTACCGCTACACCAGTTACCGTGACAACCCTATGTCCTTCAGTGCACAACAGCTTCATTTCAGACCACTTTAATGTTTTGAACAAGCTTAAATGTTGTGGGATTTGAGATGAACAATCTATTGTTTTTTGATCAAAATAGCAATTTTCGGACAATGCGATGACGTTATTGTCAAAAAGCTGCAGTTATGGCAGCACTCCCGACTGAAACAGGATCGGTTGTGCCAAATATTTTACACATCCAGAATTTACCCCAGCTTTAAACAAAGTGTTATGGCGGTAGCACTGAGCACCAGCAGGGGGTGTGGGGGGTTGGGATGCAGGAGCCAGATGAGCGAACACGTTTTTGATCATTTTTCCAGGTCATTTGATTTTCTTGGCATTATAACACGCAACATCTTTATCTGCTTTAGCCATCTTTTAGACAAAATTTGCAGATTTCTGCTCACTTTACTGCTGGTTTGTGTGAGGGGGAAGGGAAGAGAGGTTAATCAGCCTGCTTCCAGAAACAGCGGGAAAGAATTTACTGTAATAACACAATTTGGACTTGAAAGCGCAACTTCTGTTCTTTAAACATTCAGGCGGCCTGAAAAATACCCAAATTTTACCATTATATTTTCAACGTATCATTAGAGTAATAACTTTTTATGTTTTAAAGTCCCATTAGTCATAACACAGGGGAAATTACTTCTCCGCATTTGATCCATCCTTGTGGGGAGGTGAGCTGCAGCTGTGGCTGCGCTCAGGAACTATTTGGTGGTTTAACCCCTCAATCAAACCCTTTAAAACTGAGCATCAAGCAGGGAGGCGTTGGGTCCCATTTTTTAAGTCTTTGCTATGACCCGACTGGCTTTGAACCCCGATCTCCCAATCCCAGAGCGGGCACTCACACTACTAGGCCACTGGGAAGGTACAGGATGATGGTATGATGTCATTTCCTGTCATATTTGTAAATGTTACTGTCCATTGTGATCACTGTGCTGAAGCTTCATAAAGGAAAACAGCTAATTAAATTGGAATCGGAATTTCTGCCAGGAAAATCGCAATTCAATTTTTTCCTGGAATTGTTCAGCTATATGTGAGATTGACCATCACAGAAATATCACAGAAATATTGATGGTTTTTCCAGTAAATAAACAGTATTATGAATAATTCAGCTTAACTCATTAACTGCAAATGACGACTAAAGTGACCAAAGTGGCCATTTGCATTTTTTTACTGTGTGGGCGTCGGAACGAGCCCCTGCACCGTGAGAACAAACATCCCAGCTCTAAAGCCGATTTTCATCCGTGTACATCACACGTCACGTGATCAGGAAGCAGCAAACCCATGTGTTAGATCGTTTTGGGCCGTTGCTGTAAAAAAAAAAAAAAAAAAAAGTGAGGCGCAAACTAAGGTTGGGCGATGGGATGAATGAATCGACCATCGGCGATGGCCTGAACTGTTACGGTTGTTTTTTTACAGGAGGCGGTTTGTTTATTTATTTATTTGTTTGTTATTGACGAATAATTTACACGCTACACACAGAGAACATCGCAGAGGTAACAATCAAGAAAAGATCTCCATCAGCGCATCTGAACCTCTTCTCACCTTCTCCGCCTCTGGCTGCTGACAGTGCACGCACAAGCGGCACGCTGAGGAGGGGTTTGGAGAGCGTCTGTGACGCACTCGACATCGTGCACTACAGCACGGCATTGAGTGGAAAGTGGAAACCCTTCTATCTTTCAGAGTCTGGAAGACTTCTGGTTATTTCATTTGGAGAAATGTTTCCTGATTTAAAACTTTGGCTGAAGTGGCGCTCGTCGTTATTCAGCACTTGCATTGAGTGTGTCAGCAGAGCACGGATCCATCCAGAACATTATTTAAACAGCCATGAGTCTGTCTGAGGCAAACGTCTAGAAGCTCATAAGCTCTTCAGCAAGCTCCCTAGATTACACACAAACTGCAGGTGACCAGTTCAGGTTCACGCGGCGCAGGAGGAATGTGCGTTCGAGCCGCAGCAGGTGAAATGTTCCTAATTTAAGTGAAATCGTTTAATTGCATTGTTCGTGTTATTGGGGCATTCTGATCAGCTTGGTTGGACTAAATATTAATTAAAATGAATGGAAATTTAACGATTGATTATTCATAACTTAAAAAATGAAAGTGACGGGGATAAATGGATCATGTGACCTCTGGCAGCGAGCAAGTGCTGCCTCCTCAAAGTGCGTCCAAACGCAGCAGCGATTCATTCCATCCCCACTAATAAAAGAAAGAACCCCAGAAGTTTTTGTTCTGAAAGAAACTTTTTGTTTAATAAAATACCACAACAGTGGGAACCACAGGGAAACAAAGACGAGGCTTCTTTTAAACATTTTAACCATTTAATACGGGCCGTTTGTACGTCACTCTACCAAACTACAAATACAAAATTAAACAAAAAGAAAAATATAAATTTCTCTTCCAGCAAACAAATGTGCTGCGCTTGTCTAAAAAAAATTTTTTTTTTAAATCAATGTTTTGGGCTTCTTCTGTGTTCGCAAATCAGTCCGTGCGTCATGACGTCACACGCACGAATAAATCGTCCATCGTTAGGAAAAATTATACAAATCGTCCGACCCTAGCACGAACTGGAAAAGCTTCTGCCGATCACAATTCGACAACGGAATATGAAAGAACGGATAACGCTCGAAACACGCGGATTCTTCCTGATGTAAGAAGTGAGTCTCCTCTTTGTTTTGTTAGTTTTGGCGCTGACATCATCCTAGCGCGCAACGTTCTGTGACTCTAAAAAAAATTAAAAAACAACCGTAAAAACGCTGGCAGCGAAGGGTTTTATCGATCAGGAACGCTGGCAGTGAATGAGTTAATAATTTAATATTTCATATTTTTCAAGTTTTAGCATTCTCTGAGTTTCTTCTAACCGTTAGCAATATGCCACAACTCCTTCAGGCTTGTGTTATTTGTAGAGATAAAACACTAAAACAATGTTGCAGAGCAACTGAAAGCAGTGGAAGTCACTCTGCTGCTAGCCAATCAGAGGTGTGATGTTCGCACATCAAGAATATTATGAAGTAAGACCCAGCACCAGTGCCCCGCACTGCCACGATTAACTTTTATCACATGAAACTGGAGCACTGGAGGCTTTTTCCACAGAAAACTACTCACAAGCCATTCTTCCACACTAAAGACCACTGCACATTCAATGAAATAAAGAGTGTGTTTCCACTTTAAAAAAGAGAGATGAAAGATGTAAACACCGCTCTGAGCGTGATTACCTGGCTGTCAGTGGGAAGATATCTGCTGCTCGGCTTTCTGGGAGGATCATGATGATGTTGGTAGGAATAATTTTCCTCTGGTGCCTCCAGAGAATAAGACGGGTCCCCTGAACTAAGAGAGGACTGGCAGTCCCGCTGGTTCTCTCTCTCCCTGTCCCAGTCATTCCTAAAACCAACAGTTACACCAGGAACTCGTAAAAAACTCAGGTAATAAATAGACAAATGAAGAACATGGAAACGGGAGTTCGTACCAAATCCTCTTATTAATCGCAGAGTGCTCTTCTTCGTCATCACTGAACTTGAGCTTCTCGCTATAATCAACTTCTTCATGAAGTCCTAGAAGAAAAGAAAAAAACCTCAGAAGCAGCAGTTACAGAACTGAGTGTTAGTAATTATTTTAGTGGGTTAACTGACAAGATAAATACTTTTTAAAGAAAAAAAAACCAAAACTGGACTATAAAACACTGCACATCTGTCTTAAAGATTTATGGAAAAACTATTAAAGGAATTCCATTAGCTGTGTTCACCACGATGACCAGCCATCTGCAACTGTAAACAACAAAGGCAGCTTGCTTAATCAATAACAAATTAGCAAGGCTCTCTTATTGCAGTCTTAGAGTGGGAATAAGGAAAACTCCACAAATTAGTCCGGAGTTTAAATATTGAGAGAAGCCTGTAAACAAAGCCTCATGAGGACAGGGGGCAGTTTTTAAGAGCCATGCTTGCCAAGCTCAGGCGGGCTTTTGTTTTTTGTATTAAGTGTTGCATCAGTGTAACTCACTGCCTAATGGCCAACAGTGTTTACTTTTTAGGTTTCTGAGAAAGTCTGAGTAGAGTAATGTAGCTGAGGCCTTAATGTGCTAACTCGACACTCTGGAGAAGATACTGACCAGCCCATCCATCTTCACATTCATTATCAAGATCATCAAGATCCTTCAGGTCCTCTGGATTAATAATGGCGGCTCTCTGTGGTCTGTCGCCAGGCCTGCGGATGGGCTGAGAAGACATTCGCGGTGGGACGCGGACAAAGCGGTTCTCTCTTCGAGAATCACCACTGCAAACAGAAAAGAAAGTCAACTCAACAACGGCCGAGCGCCATTCTCACAGAAGAGTCCATTCACAGGGATTCATAGCTTACTTGACAAGTTCAGGTTTGGCATAAGTTTGCCTAAAACTGGGTTTGCTGTCAAATCGGGCCGGTGCCGCTACGGCAGTAGAAACGTTATCTGGGCCGGCAGCTTCGCGGGTCTCTTTAGAGCACATCTAAAAACAGCAGGATCACACGTTGCCCATATTAGAAGTCGGAGGTGGTAAATGAGTGTATTTTTCCCTTCCCTAATAAGGTACTTACAAATGCAGGCAGCATGTCATGGTAGACGGCAGTGGAAGTGTGATGAAGCTGATACTGCAGGGCAGTAGGGACGGTGAGTCTGCGCACGGGTTGGGCAGGTCGGAGCGAAGGCTCCTTCGAGTCGGCGCCTGGCGACTGAGCTGTCGTGACAGTAGATGAGGTGGTGCCGGCGGCGGAGGGGGGGTGAGACGAGGCTGGAGGGCTGCCAGTCTCATCCAGGGCAGTGGTCTTACCCTCAGGGTCTGCTGGCAGGCTGAGGGTCAGGGACGAGGGCTGAAGGTTCCTGCCACCACCTTCCCTCCAGCTCGTCACGTCTTAACGTGGAAACAGAAACGTTACTTTGGAATGCAGCCAGAGCCAAGGAAAGCAACTCTGGCAAAATGTTAACGGAATGAAAATATGTAATGAGTAACACTGCTTTGCTTTTAAATTACTTAACTAAAAAAAAACTAAAGCTTTCCAGCTCCCCATTTCTTACATTTGTAATTTTATTACTTAAAAACACAAACATCTGTCTAGAGAACATCCTTCCTGATGGTGAGAATGTTTTTTTAATAATAGCTTATCCACACATCCTTTCCTGAGCGCTGAGCTTACTCTGGGGGCGGAGGCTTGGTCCGGGCCCATACGACGGATCGAAGCCGCTTTTTTCCTTGCCAGCTCTGTCCTGTTCTCCAGCTGCCTTCAGGGTGGGAAATTCCTCGTGAGAGAAGGGCTGAAGTCGGTTTGAGGCCCTTGAACCTGCGGTCATCGAAAAGATACTTAATGAACCCGTGTGGTCGCCAAGAGTTACACAGAACCCAGGACAGACTGAGCAGCAGTAGCAAATGACTTACAAGACAACAGCACGGAAAAAATATTCTTAGTTTACATTAATAAAAATAACAGATTTTTCTAAAAATCATATATATATATATTTTTTTTTACATTACTTTTATCTGAACAAATCTCCCTAAACATGTGACAGATTCATCTGAAAAGACTCACCATCTTGCTCTACTGCCTTTCCATTTAGCTGGGCCCATTGCTTTGGTCCACCTGTGTTTGTGTTCTGTGGAAAAGAACAACAATCAGGTAGTCAAAACAAAATATTAGAGTCTTTTTTACTGAGACTACTCCTCTTGTACAACCTCAACATTTGAATTTTTTATCAAAGAAAGATGTCGCCTTTCTTAGATTAAAAAATAAATCACATTATGCCACATTCACATCTGGGTCACTGTGGTCCAGAGCTGGTAGATTCATTCACATCTGTGTAATCTGCGCGTTTTCCATTCCAAGCTGACATTTTTTTTCAGAGGTCTTCCTCGGCGGTCTGACTGGGACCAATGTAGAATCAGCCAGCGGGGACTTCCCGCATGTGCGATTCATTGTCATTCTGGATGCTGTGGGATGAACATCTCTGTGTGCAGCATGGAGCTCCTCCTCCAGGATGGCGGAAGACTGCTGCTCAGTGGGAAGAGAGGAGAAAGCAGGGAGGAAAAAAAGGTGGCCACAAGCTCCACAGCCACCTTTGTTTACTTTTAGCTTTCTCCAAAAGCAACAAAGCTCATGCCCACGTTTGTTTACTGGCTTATTGAGGACACCACTGATTTTCCATTCATCTTTTGCACCGCCCACGTGCTCAGGGATTTCCACATTCTTGAGATTGTGTGAACAAAACCATGCAAGCCTGATCCCACACCACCTCGACTGAACCAGACCAGACCTGATGTGAAAACGGCATAACCCCTATTTTACACTGCAAGCATCAGCAGAACGGAACGGCAGCAGAATGGTTTACGTGCAACTTTTGCTGCTGTCCAGTACACATCAGGAGAGTCTTGGTCGCAAAACGACTTCCTTGCTGTGTTTCTCGCTGGACTCTCGAGATCACAAAATCCCTCAAGTTTATGCCATCCGCCATGAAACCAAAAAGGAAATTACATTTGATATTGCCGTTTGATGTCATATAGGATGTTGTTCCTCCCCACTGCCAGGATTAAAGCCAAGAAAAACACAGCTGCAATTCTGGAACAATGCTGGGAGTAAATAAGCTGGTGGGTTACACGTATTGACGTAAACTACATAGATAAGAAATTGCATCGCTGCAATAGTCTTAATTTGGAAAACGTGGATTTTTCCAACCTCCGGACCTTGGAGAATGTTCATGTTTTTAACTCCAGGCTCAAGACCCGTCTTTTTAGGTTAGCGTTTATCTAAATATTTACTACAGTTTTATTCCTCGTTTTACATGATTATATTTTATTACTTGTTTTGCATGTTTTATATGATTATATTTTAGCACAGTTTTATTATTTAATATTATTATTTTCTAACTTGTCATTTATATTAGCTCTTTTATTATATTTTTACTCATTTTAATCCAGTGTTTCCGCTGTAGGGGCCCTCTGCCCCGGGAGCGGTGGTCGACTGTAGCTTCCTGGGCGCTCTATAGGTGGGGGGTCTATCCTCCCCCTCCACTGAGCGCCCTGACTTAGTGTGGAAGACCTGATGCTGCCGGGGCAGATGGCTCGTCTGATGGCGTTTCCTTGCCTTACCTTACTGGGCTCATCTGGACTCAGTCAAATATAATTTTTACGTGTGTGTGTGTGTGTGTGCTCGTGTGCTTGCATATGTCTGTTAATGTTTTTAACCTGTTATGGGAATCTGGGGTCATTTTGTAAAGCACTTTGAGTAGCACTTTGTTTGAAAAGCGCTTTATAAATAAATCTGATTGACTGATTGATTGATCAGGCCCTACACATGAAAAGGGCCACACACTGGATTTAATATTATCTCTTGGGCTTGATTTAAAGTGACTGAAATTAGTGACTTCCGGTTTTCAGGCCACTTTCCTGTATTATTCAATGTATGTGTGGATATCTCTGAACTGATCCGGGCTCCGTCACAGCGTTGCCGACGCCTTTTGAGCTCACAAACCACCTCTCATTTTATTGCTGCTTTTAACGAAGCAGATTTTTTAGCGCAGATGGACTGTAGCAACATATCAACTGATGAGCTCTTGGATCATTTTAATTCTACATGCACTGACATTTTGGACTGTATTGCCCCTTTTGGAACTCGGCGCTGTGCGTGTGCTCCTGAACCATGGATGAATGACTCTATTCGTTCTCTCAGACGCGCCTGCAGAAAAGCTGAGAGAAAATGGAAAAAAGGACGGCCTTCATGTCTCGCTGGATATCCTTAGGGATGCTCGTGCTGAATACCAGTGTGCACTAAAGCACGCAAAGACACAGTACTTTTCTATGCTTATTGTAAATAACTCCCATAGGCCTCAGGTCTTATTTAGAGTATTGAGTTGTCTTATCTCTCCTGGTGTGTCTTCTTGCCTAAAGTTTTCTGATCTGTTCTGTGAAAAGTTGAAGAATTTCTTCACAGATAAGATCACCTCTCTTAGATTATCTTCCCCTTCCTCTCTGGTGGACACAGCCTCTTCACAACCATGCTCAACTGCTTTTGACCAGTTTGAGCTGTTGTCTCTCTCTGACCTCTCTAAGGTGGTTCACCAGTCAAGACCTTCTTGCAGCCCACTGGATAGTATCCACCCATCACTTAAAAAAAATTTTTTTTACACAATTGGGTCCATTATTTTACTTATTATAAATACTTGTTTATCTGCTGGTCATGTCCCTACCGCCTTTTAAATGTGCTGCTATTCAGCCGCTCTTAAAGAAACCTAATCTTGATCCCATGGTGCTCTCCAACTACAGGCCTATCTCCAAGCTCCCTTTCCTTTCTAAGGTCATGGAGAAAATAGTCTACAGGCAGCTGCAGGACTACCTCGACCATTATGGTATTTTAGAGAAGTTTCAATCAGGTTTTAACCAGTACCACAGTACGAAGACTGCTCTTTTAAGAATATTTAACGATATATTTTTAACTATCGATTCCGGTCAATCAGCTGTATTGATCCTTTTAGACCTAACGGCGGCCTTTGATTTGGTGGACCATCAGAACCTTTTATCCCGCCTAGAGCATGACGTTAGCATCCGGGGCTCAGTGTTGCAGTGGTTTAAGTCCTACCTTTCAGACAGGACTTTTACAGTAAATATGGGGCAGTGTTGTTCGTCTCCAGCAAAAATTAGTTGTGGTGTCCCTCAAGGTTCAGTTTTGGGCCCGCTCTTGTTCTCACTGTATATGTTGCCTCTTGGCGCTATCTTTCATAAGCATGGCATCTCGTTTCACTTCTTTGAGGACGATGTGCAGATATATGTCCCACTACATTCTCAAAGGCCATTGTTTGACAAATTACTGAATTGCCTAAAAGATGTTAAAAACTGGCTACAATTTAACCTTCTCACTTTAAATGGCAAAAAGATGGAAATTGTTGTTTTTGGGGACCCTGGGCTGTTGCACGGGGTAAGCAGTGTATTTGGCCCTTTAGAATCCTTTTGCGTGTCTCAGGCAAGAAATCTGGGTTTTTGCATTGATGGCCATTTTAAACTTGATAAACAGTTAAGTTCTGTTTTCCAGAGTGTGTTCTTTCATTTGCGTGTTCTTAGTAAAGTCAAGCCCTGTTTACCACTCAAAGACTTTGAAAAGGTTATACACATGCTAATCATGTCTTGACCCGACTACTGCAACTCTCTATATCATGGACTGGAGCAGTCATCAATTCACCGCTTGCAGGTGGCTCAGAATGAGGCAGCTCGCTTGCTGACCGGTAGGAGGCGCAGGGATCACATAACACCAGTCTTACAAGCTCTTCACTGGCTCCCGATCACCTACAGGATTCAATTTAAAATGCTACTGATCTGTTTTAAGGCACAACACAATTTGGCCCCTCCTTATCTGTTGGAATTTTTAAACACTCATGTCCCCAAACGAAACCTCCGATCATCCTCTCTACATCTATTATCTGTTCCCAAGTCTAGGCTGAAGTCCAGAGGCGACAGAGTCTTTTCTGTGGCCGCTCCCAAGCTCTGGAACAGCCTTCCCCTACAGATTAGGTCTGCTAACAGCTGTTTTGCTTTTAAGTCTCTTTTAAAAACCTACCTTTTTACCCTTGCTTTTAACTGATTTCATCGTTAATTAATTTTAGGGTCTACTGGATGGTTCTCGGTGTTTTATCATTTTATGTTTTCTGCTTGTCCGTGTGCAGCACTTTGTGCAGTCTCTGATTGTTGGAAATGTGCTATATAAATAAACTTGACATTGACATTTGAAATAACAAGATTTTACACCAAAACCAGATGAGATTTCCTGTCTACCTCTATGTTTACTGTGGAAATTGTCATATCCCAGAAGCAGCACGTGGCAAAAACAGAACCTGATTCTATCTTTAGCGACACTGCGAGCCACTTGTGGGACATCCATGAAAATACTGCGCCGTGGCCGGTTTGAACCACCCCATAGACAATAATGGATTCTAATTTGAAGCAGTGCTGTTCCGAGCCACTGATGCTTCCAGTGTGAAGTGGGGTAAGACTTTCAGTTTTTTAATTAAAATGCTTCTCAAAATAAAATAAAAAAACCATGATTAGTTAATTTGGTAAAAAAATAAAATAAAAAAATGCTACAAAGACGGCTACATTTGCACGCACACACACACACCTCCTGGTTGGCCACTGGTAAGGACTTCTGAAGATTGGAGACAGATTTCTGTGAAGCCAGCGGCAGCTGCAACTCCGGCAGCTGTGGCACTGACACAGTGGAACTACAAAAACCCAACCAACACATTGTTATAACTACAGTTACATAAATGATTTGTAAAAGGAAGACTCATCAACAGCTGAAGACAGTGGAAACCTCTTTTGATCGGGTTGTTCCTGCTTGTTTGCCCATCCTGTACCGTCTTTGGGCACTATAATCACGTTGGGATCGTTTCCTTTGTTTTCAGACTTCAAGCTTGGCAGGTGCGCAGGTGGGGGCATGCGCCGGGCTGTGGCCACTTTTCCAAGACTCTGCAAGCCATGTCGCGGAAGTACTGGGAGAAAAAGCACACGTGGGTAAGATAAATTAAACCAGATCAAAAAGGATAAATGATCAATCACAATATTGAGGGAAAAAACCTCAAAAAACTAACCATATTCACAGACTTACCTGTATTTTTCTGAGTTTCTATTGATTTTCCCTTGTACTTGTCAAATAAGCTGAGAGAGGAATACTTGCTTTTCCCATCCTTGGACTTGGTTATTTGCCCCAAACGATCGGACATTTCGATGTAATGTCATCGAGTATGAAAATTTTTCTTTGCGCCTCTTCCTAGTGCTTTCTTATTCTACAAAGAGAAGAAAATCCATAATGAGGAAAAGACAGCCCTGGAAACTACCTTAACATCACAAACACTTGTTGCAAATCAAATAAACAAACAGCACAGACTTGATATAAAAAGACTGGGTATTATTTTGAATATCTGAGTGGTTTCAAAAAAAGCAATCACTGCTAAAGGATTTATTCTTGATTGCCATGTATCATTAAAATAAGAATCTAAGCTTTCTAATGATGTAGAATACATATATGTACATAAAGTGTTGCAAGTAAGACCTGGAAGTATTTAACATCCCATTGATGAGACAAAATCATAGGCATAAAAAAGGTTTGCTCATAAAAAGGGCAGCAGAAACTTTTTAACCTTATTTATCCTGACTTTTCTGACTACTGTATTCTTCATCTTGGTCTTTTTCTGCTGTAAATACATTGATTAAAGCATTTATTTTACACAAGATGCTTTTTCTTTACATTTAGTCCTGTGTAGATCCAAGGGTTTACACAGAGCAAGTTCTTACTTAGAGCTGTTAAAATATTTTTTTCACGTAGCAGACATTTAGGATGAACATGAATCTAAGAGAAAGAAAGCACTGAGCAGCAGATCACATTTAACTTGCAAAACTAAATTCCTAGCAATTAAAATATGTACAATGAGGGCAAAATTAACTTAAAAAACAGCTAAGAGTACAAGAAAAATCGAACTGACAGAAAAAAAAAACGTTTATATCACAGCTTCAGCCCTTCAAGCAAATGTTAATGAATAAATTTTCTTTTCATAGTTTCAAGACCTTTTAATACTGGATCAAACAGAAGAAATATAATCCACCAACATCAGACTTTTGTTTGCAGGTAACATAATTAGCATTCAGTCATGAGCAAAGGGATTTTGCTGCAATTGCAGATATTTATTGGCTCCAGCATCCACCTTAAGTGATTTAAAGATTAACTGAGGGATAGTTTCTGACAAAAACATTAAGAAAATGGTACAATTTGAACAGTTCATGCCTTGTTTAAAATTAAACTAGTTCATCAACTGAATAAAATATGAATGAAGAAATATTACAGCTTGATTTTGGACTCCTGTCTAGGGGTGGACCGATAAATAGGGCCAATATTTGTCCTTAGTAAAGCCGATTTTAACTCAGGCACATCCTCGGGCAGCCCAGTGCTGTTGCACAATTTAATTTAAATGTATTTTCACTAATAACATCTGCATAATAAATACTCTAAATAGACTTTATTGGATGTCTGATTTTAACACTGAGCAGTGCACAGAGTTAAGATTTAACAGTGAGTTACATTCAAAATTCAAAAACTGATTCAGCTTCAGAAATTTTGTGCATCAAACAATGTTATTGGTGGCATTTTTGCATGAAACCAACGTGGAAATGTCTAGATACTGGTCATGGAAACCTGCCCATAAAAATGACTGAAAGCTCATACTTGGTTCAGATCATTGGTCATGCTCATGCAGTCCAGTCATAAACAGCAGCATTTAAAAAACAATAAGTTATTATGTTTATCAGAAACTGTGTTCCACATTGGCCCGGAGGACAGTGATTACTGGATGTACCTGAAGTACTATAAGAATGTGTTCTCAGCACAGGCTAAATGGATAAGATTTCATTGCCTTAATGTATCATCATGTCTAAAAATTCACATCTACACATTGATTTTGAGTATAAGGCAGACTGTATTTTCTCCTTCCCTTTTAATTGTTGCCATGTTACTTTTAAACTTTCCCAGCACTGTTCAAAAGCAAACGTTACAGCAACTACTTTTACCAATGAATCCGTGGTAAAACAAAACTTATTCAACTTAAAAAAAAATGCCATTACATCCAACACAATGTGCAAATTTTGGCTCAATGTGACAAAATAAAACAAAAACTTATTTTCGATAATACCAGCTGCAGAAAAACACAAAAACATTCACAAAACAAGTAACAACAAATTCCTGATCATCTTAGGTCAACTTTTAAGATTTTTAAATCTCAGTCAAATATACACTTGAGGCATGGCATAACATTAAAAATAATAAAGCAGACAACGTAGCTTATATACAATCGATTTCCCTCTGGGATTAATAAAGTATTTTTGAATTGAATTAGTAAATGTTTAAACCACTTCTCTTTAAGGTGATCGCTGTGGTTTAATGACACCTGATGGTCTGATTTATTATGAAATATAACACTAATGATCACATTTAAATGTGTGTTATTACAGAAAAGCAAATCAAATGGATAAGCAAAGTAGACGGTCAGTTCTAATGTCTACACAAAGACAGCTAATCAACAAAGTTACGAACAACTTATGTAAAGCTCCACATTTTTACGGGAAATAGTCCGTTTCATTAGAGAATTCGTGCTGAAGGCCAAGCGATTTAAACTCGGCTCAGGCGTTTTACTGGCCTGGGACTCAAAACAACGAACATCCACCTACGGGAACATGTTTACATGTGTAACAACAGAGATCACAGCTTCCTGTACCATCTCATCTATAAAGACAATGATCACAAATCTAGCCAGATACCAGAAGATGACGGATTTATCTGGGTTTTCATGTATTACCAACTATGCTAACGGGATGACTGCTAACCCTTCCAGTCAAGTACATTTAAATTTTAACGCCACTTCCACATAATCGACACAAACAAACTAAAAATAAGGTAATAGTAAATAGATGTAGTAGAAATATCGAAGCTAAATTCGAAGGAAAAACTCTTGACCTCTTGTTGCTAGTTAGCATTTAGGCTAATTCCAGCAAATACCTGCCACCAAACACTTCTGGAGCACAAATAATGCCCATTTCATGTGAACAGTCAAACCAAATGTCCATTTGCAACATTGGAAAAATCAATATTATGACAATCGTGCATTAAACAACAACATGTTGTGCGACGGCTGAACTACCTTCTCGATGTAAACATCAAACGCTAACGAGTACATCTGGTGTTGAGCATTTAAAATTACATAACCATTAATGAAAACGCTCCTTTACAAATAATTTATTGTATTAGTTTTACAACCAAGCAAATGCAGAAATTTAACATGAGCTGAATGCTTTCGTTAGCTTTTGGGAAAACTAGCAAGACCGCAATTCCGTTCAACTTCCAGTGCAGTGTTACAAAAACAACCCTGCAGGCCGGGAGTTTGACAGTCGGTGCTTTTAAAATATATATATTTGACTAAATGGACCACTGGTTTGTTGGAATCTGTGTAGAAACATTTAAACTAATGCCACAATTTTAAACCAGCTGGGTTTTCTTAACGGGCAAGAAGACAGCGGCTGGAATGTAGGACAAGGCGATTAAAAATGGCTGCTTCCCAGAACAAAGCAACAATAAACTGAGCAGCGAAAAACATAAGCAGAATCGGAAGATTTCGCATAGCCCCGTATGTACAACTCACCGAATTCTACAATTTGAGAATATCTTCTGATCAGTGACAGTGAAATAGTTTCACCAAACGTAGTTTATTCAGAGGATGGATTGCGATTGTAAAGCCCAATGTTCGTAGGTCGATCCGACTGCTGGGTTGTTGCTGGGGTTCCTACCCGGCCTGAGAATGAAGTGATCTGAGCGAAGGCTTGGTCGGCTCCCATCAGAGCGTCTGACGTCACCGAGGAACGTCGCTGTGCATCGCTCCCGATCGCCCCCTGCAGGTGGATTTTTTTGTACAGTCTATGGTTTTTACCAGACAAACGTGAAGTGAAAAGACGTTGAAACAATCACATTATCAGTAAGTAGTATTTTGAGCCCAATGTAAATTACTATTATTAATAATAAACTTAGCTGTTTGCATGCTCCAACACATCAACAAGTAGTAAAGCAGTAAGTTATCAGTGATTTTTGAAACAGTGCTGCTGTTGGCTTGTACAGAATCAGATTGACTTCACTGTCTCCTTGCATCACACACCCATTTCCTCTTTCACAGTGGAAACAAATGTGTAAATAATAAAACGACAGCACAAAAAACAGGTGTTAGTGTATGTACAGCCTAGATGTAGGAGATGGCCTGATCAGTTAGGTGATGAAACTACAACTGCAAAGCAAATAAAAAGAGAAAGCAAGAGGACTGCGCTGTAATTTTATGAATAATTCACATGTCATTTTGCCCTGAAACACAAATGGCCACATGTCAAAGCAGAAAAACAATTATGCACAGATAATCAGACAATTAAATCAACGTTTGACCTTCTGTAACCTTTAAAACAACCACCTCTGTTACTGAGTTGATTCCTGACCAAATCATGTTTTTTATGTGATCTGATCTGCTGGTTTTATAGCTTCACGGTCCTCTCCTGAAAACTCAGACACTCAGATCAACATAAAATCATTTATAACTCAGCCTACATATATTTTAAACAATAAATTCAAGAGGTTACGTAATAATTTAATTTGTTTAAAAAATGGCCTAATCATGTTTCCATGCAGGACCACACGGATTCATCTAGAGGGCGCTCTCTTCTAACCTTCCATCAGCTTTTCTCCTGGCATTTCTGAACTCATACCCAGATTTATATTTTAAGTCGCAGAAGCATTATTTTACAGAAAATCTATCAAATTGGATAATTTTTCCATTATAAAAAACCCAAATGTTTCCTGAAGCATGAAAAAATTCGCCAATAATCCATTCACACGGAGATTATTGTGTCTAGTGTCCATGTTGTCTGTTTAATGCACAGCTCAAACAGAGGATGAAGACAAAACAGCACGACGTCTGTGAAAAAACAGGATTTATCTGAGTTTGCTCACAGATGTGTTTTGGGTTCCAGGTTGGCAAATGGAGAGGCCTTGATTTCAGAATAAACATCAGACAATCCTTCCCCAGGCCAACGTGATATTTAGCATCAACTTGGAATTTATTCATAATAATTTTGCGATTCTTTCACTATTTCTGGAAGTCTTAAAGCCATCAAGTGGAAAATTGTTGTCGGTAAGGTCACTTTTGATTTCCTCGGTTTACTTTTTGCAAAGCGTTGTAATAAAAATTTAAAGTTTTATTGAAATTGTGCCCTGAGATTTTATTTGATCAAAAGATCTAACTGAAACAATGACAAATACAATATTTAAAAAAATATATTCTCAATTAATAAATCACAACAGCGTGGATTTCATGGTTTTGGGTTGAGCTGAAGAAAAAAAACCTACTTTTCAAGGATCTTACATCAGTTTCTTTCAGTGATTATTTAGTGCATGTTTCTGATTGCTGACTGCACATAAAATAAGCTAACAAGGGAATTTCTGACAGTTTCAGCGAATATGAAGAAAGATGTTTCAGTTCCTTCTGTGGTTTCCAGCACCCCATTTGTGTTGCTTCCTGTGACATTTCCTGTCACGAGCAGTGTGACAGGGATGTATTAACAGTTACGCAAACCTTAAGACAGAGGGAGACCACTGTTCCACAAGAACATTCTTGCAAGTCATTTGGGTCTGAATTAGATGAACGTTTTGGCCCAAAATGACAAAAGACGAATTCCAAAACTACCTGCTGGTAAGACGTCTTTGCTGTTTTGCATTAGGAAATTCTCAGATCCATGCAGCTGTGATTCTGTTTCATGTGAAACTTGTTCTTGTACCATGCAGAGGGTGAAAACAATGCAGTGCGAGATCCAGTTGCACGGCACCGTCTGTTTTCATGACCACGTCTGAGCAGACTCATAACTTAAGGTTTCAACCAACCACACAAATCCCTCCTCCTCTTGCTGACTCTGTTGAGCAACACGACGCCTCACAGGCCATTTGAAGAAATCAAAACAACTTGTTGTGAAAAACAGTTTCATAAACAGCCACCAGCGCTTCCTGTTGTCTAAACTTTCTTGTTTCACGGATACATATATAAATCACCTGCGCATGTCAGATAGATTTGTTTAGTGATCAATATCAGATAACCAAACAGAAAGATGATTGTTTCTGGTCTTTTGACATAAATACAAGCTCTTATTTTCTTTTTAGCAGACGATTTACTTCTTTTTCACTGGAAACAGATGAAATGCTGCATCCAGGTTGACGATGACTCTCTGGAGTTCTCACATTGGACACGAATCAGTCCTTTGTGACAGCTGAAAAACGTACAGTGTCAAGCAGTCAAACCAAAATGGCTCACCAAAAGAGGGCTCACTTTAACAGCCTGTCGAGGTGTAGATAAAATCAAAGGATAAGTTATAATACTTCTATGGTCGATACAAAACAAGTTGTTTAACAAAACCTCTCACATCAAGTGATTTCAACAGTTTTATTCATGAAATTTGCAGTACCTTCCAGAATGAGCGGTTTCAGGACTTTAACAAGCAAGCTAGAGCTGGCCACGCCCATTCATCCCCCAATGAGGCTGCTAGAGAAGCTCCAATATCCGATGAGAGGGGGTTCAGTGCTTTTTCCTTGTTTGTGATGTCACAAACAGGGACTTTTTGAAACAGCTTGTCTTACGTTTATACCTCTCAATCAGCAACTTTGCGCTCACCCGCACACGTATTCATGGCAACATTTTCGTTTTCTTGACTTCCACATCCCCATGCAGCCACCACCTCTAAACTCATGTTTCCTGTAATTTCTTAACACAAATAAAAAGTTTGCTGCGTATGTTTGCACTCCTTCAGTCACACGTGTGTAAACTTTACATCATCTGACTTTTTTGATGAGACGTTCTTCAGACTGCTGGTGCTGTTGACGAAGTTAAAGGAATCGGCATCCTGACCAGTCACAGGCTGGTATAGTCTCCGTCGCTTTCAACGGATAGTTAGAAAAGTGGGCTCTTCTCCGCCCTTCCTTGCGAGGAGAAGTATAAACTAGGCTTTAGGCACATAATTATTAAAAGTTTGTAGAGGCAGTGGAGACTTACATGGCAGCACAAGAGGATGCAAAAGGTGGGTTTAGCACAATATGCCCTTAGAATGAGATCCATTAAAGCATTAAAGCATCCATCATAGCTGGAGCGAATGGATGTTCAGTCTCAGAAGTAGGAAGCCCAAGCAGACGTCTGAGTAGAGCCGTAGCTGCTCACCTGAGGTAGCTCAGTCATCTCAAACACACTGAGAAAGACCCGGAAGACATTAGAGGGATTATACATTTTTTATGGCCTCAGGATTTTCCAGGATGGTGGAGTGTTTGAGGACGGATCTCTGGGCTTCTTTCCTTGGTCTGCTGCCTTTTCATCCTGATCTCAGGCAAGCAGCTTAAAACAAATTAGACACCATTTAAACACCAAGGCTAGTTTTCATAACTGTACAACTGCTTTTATTGAACAGAAGAAAAAAATAAGTTAAACAGATTTTTGAACAGAACAAAGCTATCTGATTAACACAGCGACGACACTAAACCAGGAAATTGATTTTTTTCAAACTCGGCCACAACATGTAACCAAATCTAAAAAAAAAAAAAATTAATGTTATAATTTAGCAAAAGGAGACTTCACACATCAACCACTTTATCACAAACAAACCTCTAAAATCCTACAAACTTTCAAATGAAATTCCTCATGTAAAACAGGTGAACTTATTTTCTGTCCCTGGAGAGTAAGAAAAACGTTTGATTCAGTGCACCTGTCATTTTTTCCCCCACAAACAGAAATTCAGTTGCATCTAAAATGTGAGGTAATTGAGCTGAAACACACAGAGAAAGGTTCAGACATCCATCAGAAAAATTCAAATATCACAACAATGAGATTCCTCCAAAAATGTTCACCCCAATTTTTTAGATTTCTTTTGCAAAAAAATTTAATAAAAAGGCAAACAAATTAAAGGAGAAACAGGAAAACAGACAAAAGGCATAGAAAACGATTCTGTTAGCGATATTTTTAAAAGTCATAAAAAACCTTCACGTCTAATTCCTCCTCTTTTTTTGTCTATTTAACAGAAATAAAGTGAGACAGCTGAGATGTTGAAGTTACAGGTGGGGTCTGGTGTGGGACTTGCAGGTCTTGTGAAATCATGCAAGTTAGCAACTGCACTTAGTTTTTGTGTTTATTTGTTCACAGCCTTTAGGGGAAAAAAGGACCTATCAAAAGACTTCACAGCGGAGTGACTTAAGCTCAGAAATGCCTTGCAGGAAACACTCAGAAAAACGGGCTCCAGCTGAGCGTACTTATGGAAATAAGAGTCTGACACACGTTCGACGAGAGCCACACCGTCTCCATCAGACTGAAGTGGAGCATGCCAAGCGCAAAACCGCACACCATATCGGTTAGGTGGTGTTTACCCAGGAGCACCCGGGACATGCCCACCAGGAAGGCCCACAGTACCAGCAGGATGCGAAGAGGCACAGCCAGAACCAGATGGGACAGCAGGAACTTGGAGACCATGGCAGCTCGACTGGCATGGGCAGCAGGGAAGGAGTAAACATCCATGGCAACACAGTCCATGAAGCCTGGCGTCATCTCCCAAGGTCCTCTTCGCTTCACCAGCCTCTGCACTCCAGCTACTGTCAAGACGTCAAGGATGAGGGCTTCAAAAGAGAGAAAGATTGAATAAATAAGCAATGTTACAGCATCGAAACAATGTGGAAACCCCGAGGAGGGGGATGCATCATTGTTGTTGGTGATCAGGACACATTTACATGTGTTATTTAGTTTCTTTTAAAAGTAACCTCATTGTTTTATTATGAGCACAACTCCATTCTATAACCACTTAATTGTCAAAAGGTTGAAACTTGTCAATAATTGCTTTATTTCCAAGTTGTGCAGTGAGAAATGTTATTTTGGTGATAACTGTTTTATTAGGATGGGCAACCAGTCATTAGTGAGTTGCTTTCCATCATTTATTTTGTCATAAAAATATTAGTAATTGTCATTTATGAATGTATTCTTCAAAAAAATCACATTTGAAGCAACACCATTGCACTGCCACCGCCATGCTTTGCCATCAGCATCTGGTCTATTACAAACTTTATGCAAACTTTTATTTGAGCGTTTTGTGGTTATTTCCTAAATGTGTCCTTTAATGTTGGCCTTATGCAGCATCTATCTTACATTTACTTGTCATGGTCTGCATCCTGCGTCCCCCTCATGTGTTCTCCAGCCCACCCTCTAGGTTCCCTTATGTGCCTCCTTGTGTTCCTCATGTGCCTCCTTGTGTTCCTCATGTGCCTCCTTGTGTTCCCCAGCCCACTCCAGGTTCTCCCTTTAGGTCTCCAACCCCTCCAGGTGTCCCTCTAGGATCCCCCTCATGTGTACCTAAGCTTCCTGTGTCCCTTCTTGTCTCCAGCTTCCACCAGGTTTCCCAGGTTCACTTATTCTTTAGGGAAGAGATTACTTTGCTGTTTGTAAAATATTTTTACAAATGTGTATGGTTCAGCTACAAGTGGTATATTCCTAAATTACATACGGATCATCTTCCTGTATTTGGAATTTTGCATAGTTTCAGTGGCAAAGGACGAGTCACCGCATAAACTAATGAGAATAAGGACCCTAGAAAGAATTGAGGCTTTAAAGGTAGACCTCGCAGATCGTGTTTGGGATGATGTGTATGTGGAGGATGTGAATTTGGCATATGATACATTTTTGTCTATATTTTTAGATCTCTATAACAAACATTGTCCCATTAGAAAATGTCAGGGGAAGAAAAATCGTGACAGAAAACCATGGATGACTAAGAGTTTACAAAAGGCATGCAGAAAGAAAAATGTACTATATAAGAAATATTTACTATTAAAAACTAGTGAAAGTGAAAAAACATATAAACAGTATAAGAATATGTTGACCTCTTATCATAAGAAGACAAGAAAAGGAGCACTATAATACATTATTAGAAGGAATTAAAAATAATATTCAAGCGACGTGGAATATTATAAATGATCTTATCAATAAAAAAAATTAATAAAACAGAATTTCCTAGACATTTTGTAAATAAATGTGGTGATATAGTGGACAATAAACAAGATGTCGCTAAAGAATTTAACAATTATTTTGCTGATGTCGGTAAAAGTCTGGCCAAACAAATTCCAAATTGTGATAAAAAATTAAATATGTTTGATCACCTTATTAAGGATAATAAAGATTCATTCTTTTTGGGAGGGATCAACGACGGTGATATAATAGAAACTGTTAGAAAACTTAAAAATAAGAAATCCACTGATATTAATTTTATTGATACATTCATAATTAAAGAGATAATTGATTTTATTGTAAAACCTCTTTTGGAGGTTTGGACTTTTATTTGTAATCTATCCTTTCAAAAAGGTGTTTTTCCAAACAGCATGAAAATAGCTAAAATAAAACCAATTTTTAAAAATGGAGACAAACATTGTGTTGATAATTATAGCCAAGTGTCCCTACTTAGTCTGTTCTCAAAAATATTAGAGAAATTATTTGCAAAACAGCTGGATCTTTTCATTGAAAAATATGGGTTACTTAGTGAGCACGAGTACGGGCTTAGAGCCAAAAGAACAACTACATATGCAATTATGGAAATGGTAGAAAAAGTAACAGAGGCCAGGGAAAATGATGAGTATTTTGTTGGGATTTTTATTGATTTCCAAAAAGCATTTGATACTATTAAAGTTAAAGTTAAAGTCCCATTAGTTGTCACACACACACACTGATATGTGTGCGAAATTTGTTCTCCGCATTTGACCCATCCCCTGGGGAGCGGTGAGCTGCAGACACAGCCGCGCTCGGAACCATTTGGTGGTTTTGATAACAGTATATTGTTTTTAAAAAATGGAGAAGTATGGATTAAGAGGAGTGGCTTACTCATGGTTGAGGAGTTATTTGGACAATAGGAAGCAATATGTAGAAATCAATAATACAATTTCAAAATTTAGGAAGGTTACTTGTGGTGTTCCCCAGGGATCTGTTTTTGGACCAAAACTTTCTTTTACTTTACATTAATATTTGTACGGTCACTAATTTATTGAAATTTGTAAATTTTGCAGATGATACAAATTTATGTTGTTCAGGTAATTATTTACAGAAACTTTTGCCCTTAATAGAAAAAGAATTGGGAATCCTTAAGACTTGGTTTGATATTAATAAGCTATGGCTCAGTTTAAAAAAGACAAAATTTATGATATTTGGTAATCAAAAGGAACTTGACAGGGAAATTAACTTAAAAATATGGAATGTTGAAATTGAAAGGGTGACAGAAATTAAATTTTTGGGCGTGGTTATTGATCACAAACTGAAATGGAGACAGCATGTTTATTACATTAAAGGAAAACTTTCTAAAATAATAGCAATACTGTACAAATTAAGACATATGTTGAATGATGCAGCATTACATATCATTTATTGTTCACTCATACTACCTTACATTTCATACTGTGTGGAAGTCTGGGGACTGACTAATCAAACATTAGTTAGTGCAATAGTTCTCTTACAAAAATGTGCAATACGTATTATTAATAAGGCAGATTATTTGGCACATACACATCCATTGTTTTTAAAATCACATGTTATGAAATTTAATGATTTAGTTTGATAGAAAATAATGCAAATAATGTATAAAGCTAAATTAAAGTTACTTCTGCAAAGTATACAAACATTTTTTTCTTATGCAGAAACTAAGTATGATTTTAGAGATATTAATACATTTACTGTTCCTTTGGCAAAAAAAGAAGTTCAAAGGAAATGTATATCTGTGGTGGGGGTTAAATTATGGAATAATGTCAGTGTAAATGTAAGAACTTGTGGTACATTTTTGTTGTTTAAAAGGATGGTTTTGAAGATAATTTTTGATGGTTACAAGAGTTTATAAGTTGTGTTGTAAATGTAAGAGTATTGTGAACTTTTTTGACTAAATGGTTTATGTTTCTCTTCTTCTTCTTTTCTATTTTGCTTAAATTGTACACATTTGTGTTAAAGGGGTAGATTAATTTGTTTAATTTGTTAAAAAGGTCAGGCATAAATATAAGCATGCTGCTTCAGCCTGAGCCTTTTCAATCACTCTAAATGTAATGTGTTATTGATTATATTATTATTATGTTTTGACTGAATAAATTCAATTCATTTCAATTCATTTCAATTCAAATTTATATTATCTAGCTAGTTTTTCCCTGTAGTATTCATTGGTTCAGGTTCCTTCCTTGGTCCTTCCCCACCGGTTTATTAGTTCTCCTTTTCTCCTTAGATCATTAGTTATTTGTCTTGTTCTTCTGGTCTTTAGGATTGGTTATTATTCATAGGTCATGTTTCATTTCCCCCTCCTCAGCTTAGTTTCCTCTCCCTGATTAGTAAATTGATTTCACCAGGTTTCTCTCTCCCCACGCACCTGCAGCTCATCTCCCAATCATCATCATTTAATTTTACATCCTCTCCTGCCTCGTGTCATTCTGGGAATCTGCGCATTGGGTCCTACTCCTCCAACCTACAGCGTGACATTTCTGGCATCAATCTGATCTTTGCTTTTATTTGTCTTCCTGTTTGTATCAAGATTTACTCTCTAAATGTCTAAAGCATGAGATACTTTTCTGTAGTATATTTTTAAACATTCCTTCAAATGATCTTCACATAGTGATGGTAACCCATTAAAAGTTTTGACAAAAAAAACCAAATAATTTCTGTTGCATCTGAAACGTACAGTCATTGTGAATGCCCCAGTTTGCTTTATGCTAATGTAGCCGTTTGGGATGTCACAAGCAGGAACTTTTTGAAACAGCTTGTTTTAGGCACGTAATTCCTGAAACCATGATAGAAAATAAGGATGTTTCTTTTGCCCATTGTTCTGTGTATAGAGGATGTAGAGACCCACATGCAGCACAGAAGGATGCAACAGATGAGACTTGCTTTGTATGTCCTCATTAAAACTAAATGTGTTAAAATATATCTGTTATTTGTTTGTTGTATTTATATTACAAATGGCACCCATTAAGCATTTTCCCCCAGAATAAGATACTACCGGTCATAAAAAGTGTGCACTGCAAAGATCGGTGGAATGCTTAATTGCTGCTTTCATGCAAGCTCTTGGAAAGTGAGATTTGTGTAAAGAGCTAAGGTCTTGAAAAATAATGCTGAACACTGAGCTATTCACTCCACTGAGCACAAAGACAACAGCTTTGTGAGCGCAACCCCAATCTGTTTCTGTCATCATCTACAAAGACTGCCCACTGCAGCGTCCAAAAATTCTGCAGACATGACTAAACATCATCTCATTCAACTCAGAGGAATGATAAAAAAAAGGTCACCTCAAAGGTTATAATGCATGTGTTTGCATGCTTAAAACGCTTTTCTAACAACAACTTTAAGGTTGGACATTTCACCAGAATGTAACTATAACACCGCATTCGACAAAGCATTCAAACAAATATTTATTTACAGATGCATGACATTTGCAGATAACCAAGATAGTTTTTAAAAAACGAGTTAAAATCAATTAAAATATATGGAAATATAATGTGCAGAAAAGCTTGAAAACTTTAATAGTTGGCTTTACAAAGGGTGCTGATAGTGTAAGTGCCTCCTTCATGCACTGGTTGATTAATTGGTGCAAAAAGAACAAGTACTATATTACTTTTCAAACATATTCCTTGAAACTAGAATGCACTTGCAATTCTGGAAAAAAGGTAGTCAAAATGAAAATATATTTGTTAACAATAAGAGCTTTCAGACACATTTAGACTCTTGGTGGAACGTTTCTGCACAAATCACAACAGCAGCCTGAATTAAACCCACCATGACAGATCAGTCAAGGAAGATTAATCTATCTGAAGAAGAAATCAAAGCATTCTTCCAGGAAGCATTAAATGTGAACTCTATTGCCAACTGTTCAGTATGTTCATATTTTAGCTGTCACTTAAAGAGCAAGTCACCCCCAGAATCTTACTTCACTCCCACTTCCTGTTTGAAAAATGCAACAAATTAGCCTGGCAAGCCAGACTAAATAAATGTATTATTTAGTCTGGCCACGCTCCATTGACGGCTCTCGGTTGTGGGGCGGGTTCTACCGTTGTCTTTCAAATGATCTCCGCATTCCACTGGACAATGAATGTGACATACTCTTGTTTCACTCTGTTGCATCATCCCACCCACCAGGCATATAGAGTGCCCTGATTGGCCCACAAAGTGGATAAAGCTCTGTGATTTGTTCACTAAGCAGATAGAACACTATGACTGGCCCACCATTATGGACCAATCACAGCTCTTTATGTGTTTGAAACCCCTCTAGAGAGCTGTGATTGACTAGCCAGAGTCCTGGTAGGAGCTGCTGAGGTTCCAATGGAGCATGCCTAGACCATTCTTTGCAAAGCAAGAATTTGGTCTAGTTCACTAGTCTAGCAACAAATGCTTTTGCCTGGCAGACCGAGAGGGCGGAGCCACTAACAAATACACACACACAAGCTCACAACAACATTGTGACATCATAATATACCAGCTACCGTCATAGTGTATTTCTTAAGCCTAGGGCACACCAGAGACAGACATGCCACGTCACGCCCGCAGTGTCATTTTAAATAGAATCCATTATAGTTAATGAGACTGGCTACACTGGAGCGCCGCGTGGACAGCCGATGTCGGGTTTCAAGGAGAAACAGGAGAGGGAGGGAGGGAAGAGCTTGACTGAATTCATAATTTTACATCTTGACATAGCTGTACAAACTTTGAGTTTGATAACAGGAAGAACAACTATTTGCAGAGGTTTATAACTGGCGCGGCGCCAGGTTTTCATTTTTGGGTGGGCCACGGTAATTTTGGACGGACATAATAAGCGGTGACTTAAGTGAAGAAGGCAGGTCGCGCTAGAAAATTTCGTTTAAAAAGACGTCATAAATTTTTTTCCCCATCACTTTATTTCTAAAATATGAAGTAAAAACTCCCAATTTAATTTTCATAAATTTTTCATTTATAGGCACCAGAATGCATTACATGCACTTCTAATATTTACGTCTCAACGTAGGACTCTTTCATAAGGGCACATGCACACCAGTAGTTTTTAAGGTTATTCATGGGGCAAAATCTCCGACATTTCTGGAAAAAAAAATCCATCTTCCAGTAAAAGCAAAGCACCCAGCCCACCTCTCCAAATGCGTAAAATGTGCATCACAGCCACTAGGTGCGCCGCGCGCACCGTCAGCTACGTCAGCCCAGACAAGAGCAGAGCAAATAGAGAAAGAATAGAGGATAATTGTGTCTGGATGTGGATGGAGATTACATTTTACAGCAGCCTGATCATCATTTAAATACGTAAACCATCACCTGGCTTCTAGTCTACGCTATCAGCATTATTTTAATTGGTGTGTGTGTGTGTGTGTGTGTGTGTGTGTGTGTGTGTGTGTGTGTGTGTGTGTGTGTGTGTGTGTTTTCCACATCAAACACTGGTCTAACCAACCAGACCAGTGTGTCCAGTAACATATTAATGTTACAATTAAACAGTTTCACTTCATGTAGGCTACATTTCACCTGCCGTGGCCCGACCACTTCTGCTCCACATAAACTTTGTGCGTGATCAAATGTCTCTACAGGTGCTTTCTGAGCTGAAGAGGCTATTCTGCCTCAGACTGGATGCGTCATGCATCTCCATATTAGAGACGGGAACAAGCGCTATTCAGCCAAAGTTTAATAATCAGCGAACATTTTTCCAAGTGACACATCCCTCAGAGAGACCGGGTTTCCAGACCGCTTCAGTGGGAGGAAATCTTACCACATGCACCGTGGTTCTGCGCTGCGCTGCGAACCCCTCTGCAGATCTTCAGCTCACTGTCCACCGTGGGCGCCCCGAGCCGCGCTGAACACAGTGTCCAGTATAAAGCTCTGATGTTCTGATGTGAATCATTTCTTGATTTATTTAGTTACCTCCGCGATGTGCGTAACGATTAAAATGTCAGGTCATCTGTGTGTGTGCATCAGTGCGCGTCGGGGTAATTCTTTCAAAACAACCAACATCCTTGAGTTTATCCGTCAAAATAAACAGTCTAATGGAAATATCTGTAACCTGCCATTTAACTGTTTTGCCTTCCTGTGAAGATCGTTGCAAAGAGAAACAATTAAACTTGATTAACCCCAGAGCCACGCGCACTAAGCTGTACTTCGTGGGGGAAATTATTTGATCGGATCATTTTCTTTTCAACATGGTTTCATGTAAAGTTTCATTCAGTACAAACTTTAGTCGCACCAATCTAACGAGACAGAGCCTGGATTTGCATTCTGAACAGTTTAAACATGTTTAAAATGGAGACATGCATGACGCGTCTAAAATTCGCACCTGCACCGCTATTATGGAAATTAAACTAACAAGATGAATAACATGAACTTATTTTAGGCACAGACAACATCCCCCACACTTTTGAAAAGCTTGCAACGCACCTGTATACAGGTGCTGGTCATAACATTAGAATTTTAAGACAAAGTCGATTTATTTCAGTAATTCCATTCAAAAGTGAAACTTGTTAATTGCATGAAGTCATTGCACACATGATATATTTCAAATGTTTATTTCTTTTAATTTTGTTGATTACAACCGACAACTAATGTAAATCCCAAATTCAGTATCTCAGAATATTAGAAAATTGTGGAAAGGTTCAGCAGTGAAGACCCTTGGTGCCACACTCTAATCAGGTAATTAAGTAAAAACACCTGCAAAAGCCTTTAAATTGTCTCTCAGTCTAGTTCTGTAGGCAACACAATCACAGGGAAGACTGCTGAGTTGACGGATGTCCAAAACACGACCATTGACACCTATAGAGGGCAAGACACATTGCTAAAGAGGCTGGCTGTTCACAAAGCTCATATTAATGGAGAGGTGATGGGAAGGACAAGGTGTGGTAGAAAAAATGTACAAGCAATAGGGATAATCACACCCTGGAGAGGATTGTGAAACAAAACCCATTTAAAAACGTAGTAGAGCTTCAGAGTGGACTGCAGCTGGAGTCAGTACGAACCACCACGCACAGACGTATGCAGGACGTGGGTGTCAAGCCACTCTTGTATCAAGAGGCAGCATCAGAAGCGTCTCTCGTGGATAAAGACAAAAAGGATTACATTGCTGTTGAGTGGTCCAAAGTTATGTTCTCTGTTGAAAGTAAATTCTGCATTTCCTTTAGAAACCAAGGTCCCAGTGTCTGTAAGAGGAGAGGAGAGGCACAGAATCCACGTTGCATGAGGTCCAGTGCAAGTTTACTCTGTGGTTTGGGATGCCATGTCATCTGCTGGGTCCATTGTGTTTTCTGAGGTCCAAGGTCAACACAGCCATCTACCAGGAAGTTTTAGAGCACTTCATTCTTCCTGCTGCTGACCAACTTTATGGACATGCTGATTCCATTTTCAAACAGGTCCTGGCACCTGCACGCAGTGTCAAAGCTACCAGTACCTGGTTTAAGGACCACTATATCCCTGTTCTTGATTGGCCAGCAAACTCACCTGACCTTAACCCCATAGAACATCTATGGGGTATTGTTATGGGGTATTGTGAAGAGGAAGATGCAATATGTCAGACTCAACAGTTCAGTAGCTGAAGGCCACTATCAGAGCAACATGGGCTCTCATATCTGAGCAGTGCCACAGACTGATGCCAGGCCACATTACTGCAGTAATCCAGGCCAAAGGAGCCCCAACTACATACAGAGTGCTGTACATTTTATTTTCAGTTGACCAACATTTCTAAAAATTCTTTTTTTTTGCATCTAATATTTAGAAATACTGGATTTAGGATTTTCATTAGTTGCCAGTTAATCATCATATATCAGTTTGTGTGTAATGAATGAATGTAAAATACAAGTTTCACTTTTTAGTTGGGATTACTGAAATAAATCAACTCTGTCATGATAGTCGGATTTTATGACCAGCACAATTTACCATTTCGGTTTTGATTTGTAAAAAGTAAACACTGCCATGTTTGCACTTGTTCGTTTTTAAATGTGATCAAATGCGCTATAGAAATAATATAAGTTAAATACAAAAATAAAAGGTTAATCTTTTACAATTTACACTTGGCATCCCATCAATCTGCATCAGGCTGCGGACATATTCTCTAACTCAAATCTCAATCTCATTTAGTTCCCAGTGGAACATGCGCTCTGTGTGCGCCATGGTGCTGGTGCCTGTACTGGGGAGGTTATGTGTGTGTTTGCATTTACCAAGCAGCAGGTTGACCAGCACCTCCTGTCCAGCCAGGGTGTTACTCCGTGTGAGACACACGATTGTACCAATGATCCACGTGATGCCGTGACCCGTGAGCGCCAACAGGGCCACCATGGAGCGGCAGCCTCCCCAGGAGGAGGACGTGTACGCGCACACCCCCATGCGCTTGGATAGGCAGATGTCAATGGCGAGGAGGGAGTTCATCGCAATCCCCTTGAAGGAAGGGTTCAGCTGCATGCAGTCCTCCTCGGGCATTTTGGTAGACTCTCTCCGGTCCTTGCTCCCGCTCTCGGTAGGTTCCTCACCCTTCTGGCTAGTTTGCTGCTTGATTTGACCCGGGCGTCTTGGACCGCCGCCGCCGCCGCCTCCGCCACGACCCTCCGAGGAGCCGCTCGGTGCGCCGCGGGGCGGCTGATGGTTAAGTGACATGAACTCAGGTCTGCTCAGGATGCTGTTCCTCTCCCGCGTCCTAGACCTCACGGCGAACGTGGAAGGCATGTTTGGACACAGGCTCGAGTTTTTCAACAATAAACTGATTATGAGGCTCCGCGGCGTAATTCAAGTGGCAATTCAAGTTTATCACGGTGGAGAAATGTCCCAGAATAACCCCCAGCAGTCCTCCCCCTCCTGGCCTTAATAGATATATTTAGAGCCTCCGGAATGTGAAAGCTGTTTATACCTCACAGGCAGTAGATGGCAGAGCAGCTTCCAGCCGGTCCCGTGAAACCCGATCCACAGCCTGGACACAAAAATAACAACAGCGTTTCATTACGCCGCAGCCTCGCAGCTAACAGGTGATCCACTGCGTCCCGCGGACAAAAAGCACCAAGAACACACAAGCTCAGCGAAAAATGTCAAAAGAATACGGAAGAGGCGAATGTTACGCCTCACCTGGCCCTCATTGTGCCTATAAACGTCTCTATCGCAGGTGTGAGAGGGAGAACAGCGAGACAAACACCACCAACAAAAGATGAGGAGAAGGGAGCACAGTCAGCGCAGCATCCCGTTTACTGTGACGTAATTTACGCAAAATCGCGATTCAGGTTCCAGTGGTGCGCCCTGCTGTGGAGGGGAGTTGTCCAAGGTGCTTAAACCGGAAGCACAGGACCAATAATAGCAATTATAATCATTTTTAAAACAACAACAACAACAACAACAACAACAACAATAATAATAATAATAATAATTATTATTATTATTATTATGAATAACAATTATTATTATTATTATTATTATTATTATTATTTGTTATATTATTTAAAGTCTGAAAATTACAACACGTTTCAAAAAATGCTACCAAATTTAATTAATTTCACAAACATAAACATTTATAGCTTTAGAGCTTGGTGCTGTTTTGCTTAGTTTAGGGTCCTTTTGGTACTACATTTCCCTGCTTGCCTGCGGGTCAAACCGGAAGTGTCGTCATGTAGACGCTTATAAAGCTGCTCACCCGGCTGATCGACGCGTAGCGGGGTGAACCTGCTGCCGTTGCCATGGGACGACGACGAACTGACAGCTCGTGCAGAAATGTCGGCTGAGTTGCATCCTGAGCTCGCGCGAGCCATGTGACACTTGGCGTTTCCTCCGAACCAGACGCGTTTTTTCTTTATTTTTTCTTTTTATTTCGGACATTTCTTTTTTTTAATTCCCTTTTACATTTAGCCCTAGAATGGATTCGGAGGAACGGGCGCAAAAGTTGATCCCGGCGGTGTCGTTTGGATGTCCCTGAACTCCAGATGGAAAGCTGACTTCTGCTGCAGGCTGGGGGAATAACGGAATTACCTCTCGGACCGAAGAGCTGTGCAGCCCGTTGCTGGCTCGGAATATCTCTGGTAGCCTACTCCTCTCTGAAGACACCGGAGACTTTCCAGTTTAATGTTTTATAGGTAGACCCCTATTTAAAAATGTTTTTTGCAAACTATTTTATATAAAAATAGAACGTAATTTTCTCAATCCACATCTACTCATATGAATGACCATTTTCATTCTACGGAAAGGCTGATTGAATTAACGGACATAGGAAATCCGATCTCCACCTCGGAGCAGCCACCAGTCCTTATAATACCGTTACAGCATTTGTAATCATGATTCATGTCACCATCTGGACACAGAGCGGCTCTCATCAGTCCAGGGATTAGTTTATAGTGACACAAAGATCATAGAAAGGGAAATCTGACACCGTCGTGTAATTGACAACTTTTGTTAATTATTTAGCACCAAATTTCTCTGAAGAGGATCTTTCCTGCAGGTTGCCACATGTTGCCAAAGTGACATCTCTGTAAAATGACAGCATGAACGCACCCCTTCACATAAGAAAGTTGTGACGCTTGGCTGGTGGAGTCACTTTTACGCACCGGAAAAGAATGCGCTCTGCAGATATGGGGACCTTTTAGAGATTTCTTCTTCATGGATCAAAGACGCATGGCTTTTTTGTTCTTCCTCACAGAGACGCCCTGCTGTGTGATTGCGTTTTGATTTTGTAAAACTTTGAAGAGATCGTGTGGGTCCAAATGTGATGATCCTTCTTTGGTGTTTCCATGCGTCTTTCTTTTCCTCCTCCAGACCACTGGACGGTGTTGTGGATTGTGTTGCAGTTGCATGCGATGGGCTGCATCCAGAGCATCAGGTGTAAGCCCAAGAGTTTCCGAGACAGTATCACCGTCCTGGATCTGAGCTCGTCCATCGACTCCAGCCCCACCATCATCGACGAGACGTCCAGCGTGGTCCTGCGCTACCGGACGCCGCACTTCCGTGCTAATGCGCGCGTCGAGGTGCCGCCTATTGCGACCAAAGAGACCTGGACCATCGGCTGGATCCAAGCGTGCAACCACATGGAGTTCTACAACACATACGGGGACAGAGGGATGTGAGTATTTCACTGATTTTACATGTTTGTGATAAAATAAATTATTCGAACCACTGGTCTTCACACAGAGGCGTGCCAAACAATGCAAGATGATCCTGGCTCAACCACTTAAAACTATATGTGATTTTTAATTTATCTGAAGAAAAAAAGGCAAATTAAACAAAGCTTGATTGTTTGATGTCCATTAAAATGCTTTTTCTTTGTAATAACATAGTAGGAAAAATGAGAGAGTACATTTGAGTCAATGAGACAAAATGTACTCGTTTTCAGAGTACTTTATACTCTATTCGAGTAAAATGTACTCAGCTTGAGTAAAATTAACACTCCATATTTTTCTGTGAAAATCACAGAAAGTCTAAATAAAGTCATAAACTTTAAACCTAATGAGAACATTCAGTTCTGAAGAGTTAAAACACGATCAGTCTAAATTTGGGCACATTTATCTCAAATATTATTTTTTATATCAGAAAACGGTAACGCTTTACAATAAGGGTCCCTTTATTACTGTTACTCAGTACATTATTAAGCATAAATAAACAAATAGTCCCTTTATAATTATAGCTAGTGTCCTTAAGGTTATAGGACAAAGGGACAGGGGGTGTCTGCTAAGTAATGCTTTACATAAAGTTAAGCAGTTTTTAATACTTTATTTAATAGTTTATTAATGTGTAGTAGTAATGGTAATAAAGGAACCCTTATGTTAACCTGAAAACTCCAAAGGAAGTAAAAGTATTGTTCCTTAAATGTCAGTTATTTAATGATTTTGGGGGGTAAAAAACACAACAACAAGCTATAAAAACTCAACTCAAGCTTCAGGACTCTGTCTCTTATTTTCAAGGCCTTTTAAAAAACCATATAAATGATGCAACCAAAAACTTCTACCAGAAAGTTTGTTTTAATCCTTGCAGAACACTTGAATCAAATCTAGCTCTAAATTTCAGCTTCGGAGTCTAAATCTGTGCTTTTGCATCCTGTCTTCTGTTTCGTCTGGGTAAAAATGTGCTTCTCCTTTTATTTACTGTGCGGGCAGCCTCAAGCTGGTCCAAAACACGCTTTATCTGTAGACGCTGCTGGAGAGCATGTTTGAGAGCTGCACAGCTAAGATTAGAGACTCTGTCCTCTCCCAGACACCCCCACCCCTGCACAGTCCTGTACATTTATGCTTCACTGTATCAGAAATGAGGCCTCTTCTTTTAAAATGTGTATGGAAGGGGGGGGGGGGGGGGGGGTATGAGGAAACTGCACCAGCTTTTTAAAAAAAGCTGCAGAAATGTGACTGCACAGCAATTACATCATGTTTGGTGATTATCAGCTTTTTTGTCAAATGTTTTGTTTTTTGTTTGTTTCGGTTTTTGTGCTGGACACATTTAGAAAAACACCCACAACATCAATTCTTGACATTTTTTATTAAAGGTTGACGTAATAAATAAAAATTTGAACACAGTTTGCTAAAGATGAGGGTCGCATTAAGGTAAATATGCGTTTGCAGTTGAAAGTTTGGACCTTTAATAACATGAGTCTAAACTTTTTGCTGCTCTTGAATAAAAGAATATACACTGTAAAAAATGAAATGCTGAATTTACTCAACCAAGTTATGTAAACAGATTCCGCTAAACTTAAAGAGTACTAGATAAATAGCATTTCATGCAGAAATGCGGTTTGAATGCTGATTGCAACAAGTTTGGGATGATGTGGAGATGCAAGAGCCATTGCTGCTGCCTCTTGGCCTGAGCGCCATTGTAAATGAGAATGAGTTCTCAATCGACTCACCTGGTTAAATAAATAAAAATAATTTTAAAAGCTGAAAGAAAAAAGAACAGTTTGGACTCTGTGGACCCCAGCTTTAAAGTAATCGACATCAGAAGTCTTAGCTGGCCTTTCCTGAACGAACTGAGTGCTTATACCTTGCTTATGTAAACTGTTAAAAAATTGTATATTTATGGCAAAAAACATTAGAAATAATCTTGAAAGAATAATAATAATAAAGAGAAACAGGAAAACTGAGACAAATATACATTTACTTTTAACGTAACATCTCATATTAAGGCTGGAATATACTTTTTAACGGCACATGCTTAAAAAGGCTGCCTCGCGTAACTTGCTTTTTTTTGAAGGGTTGTTTGTGTCCGTCCCCCAAAATTAATACAACATGTTTGAATAATAATAATAATAATAATGCATCGAACTTATATAGCGCTTTTCTAGACACCCAAAGACGCTTTCACACACTCTCACATTCACACACTGTTAGTGATGGTAAGCTACTTGTAGCCACAGCTGCCCTGGGGAGGTCTGACAGAGGCGAGGCTGCCATTTGGTGCCGTCGGCCCCTCTGACCACCACTAACACAGGCAAGTTGGGTGAAGTGTCTTGCCCAAGGACACAACAGCAGGATACCCCTGGCGGGAGCTGGAATCGAACCCATGACCCTCCGATCAGGCAACCCGCTCTCCCACCTGAGCTACTACTGCCCTACTACTGTATACTGCAATATACAACTAACCAGTAGGGGGAGTTGACAAAGCAAGCCAGACACACTCGCCAATGTATCTGGTTTAGAGGTCTTTCACAATATCTACAATACCGCTGCTGTCATTTTTTCTGCTGTGATCTCAAAATTAACCAGTTACTGAGATGTCTTCTATTGACGCCATGTTTGTTTTGGCTGTACCCCACAAACCTGGCTCTCTATCCGTTCCGAGTACTGCGCCCCCTAGCGAAAACCTCCATTACTACATGCAGTGCAGTGCTGTGCAGAAGCAAGCGTGTGAACAAAGACCATCGACACATATACTGGACAATGTGTTTCCATACTCCAATTATAAGTTTGTGAGCCAAAATGGGAGGTGGCCACCACCGCCATTTTGACCTTGTCACAGGTTCCATCAAACCTAAACAATTCCAAAAAAGGGAAAAGAGGTGGAGCTGAGGGTGGGGCTGTGAGGCTGGATCAAATGACGACAACCGTCGAACTGAAGCGATGTAGCTACAAGCTAACGCGGAGGTGGGAGCTAAGCTAACGGAGGTAGCTACCTAGCTACAACCGGAGTTAACTGTGCACAACACCAGAGCTTCTGAGTCAGAGATACGCCGAGCTGACCGCTGGGTAAAACTGGTGGAACACAGAGGTCTCCCGAGAGCTCTACAAGCCGCGCAGCCGTGCAGCAGGCCGGAGCCGCTGCGATCAGAGATGCTGCAGCTAAGGGGAGAGGACCATACAGATAGTCGGAACCCAGCTGGAGTTCCACCAACATGTTATATTTCAACCCATTTTCAAAAATGCAGCATTGTGTTAAATGCATTGGGTTTTACCCTTTTACATTTGAAATTCATGGTTAAACAGTACATGTTAAAATCTAAGCTCAGCTCGGCAGCGACCTAAAATACATAAATATAATTTTACTTACCGAAAAAAATGAAGTGGAGACTCCTTGGACGCTCTATTAGTGCAATTAATGCCACAGCAAGTCATTTTGTCCAACAATTGCACAAATAATATCCAAAAAGAACGCACAAACGCTACAACTAATGGTCTAAGTTGAGAGACTGAAAATCGCGGAACAGTTTTCAGGCGAGGCCGAGGCTCAGGCTGAGACCTTTCCCAGGAGCTAGCTCTGTGGTCACGTGGGTCTGATGCTCGTTAATTATACAGAATTTTAGGCTTTTAATACACTTAAACAGAAGAGTGACAAAAAAATCCCCCCCCCCCCCCCCCCCCCCCTCAGAGTTGTCATGAGTGTAAACTAGATCTATTAAACCTACAACATGTTTTGGTACCAGGCTGTAAACATGTTTATTTCTGCTGTGAAATTAGTATTTTTAACATGGGAGTCAATGAGGATTTGCTCGCTTCTGACACCAGCCCCCAGCGGATGAGGATGGAACAGCAATCCTTGTCACTTCCGTGTTGGCTTCATTTTCATACCAGTATTATGGGGGCTGGACAAAGACGCAGCTTGCTGCCTGCACCAACGTGTTTAAAAGCAAGGACATTCCAGACCTTACTGTCTTTACATAGATTTAATGGAACCACCAGGCGACATAACTTGGTTAAGTAAATTCAACTTTTAATTTCCTAGAGTCTATTTAAACCTTTAAGCATTTTTCCCCAGAAAATGTAAAAAAATAAAAACAATAAAACAGCAGGACTTTAAAAAAACATATTAAGGGAAAGTCTTCCTTAAAAAAACAGTTGGAGATTTTTCCAGTTAGAATGCCAAGAATTTATATTAAGTATTTTTTTATTCTTCATCGCGCTCTAATTGGGTGGAACAGCGAGGACAGTAACATGCATGAATTCTGCGCACATTCACTACTTTATTTCTGCCCTCAGGCAATGCTGAGGGAACAGGTTTGTAGGCTTAGACAGAATAGTGAGCATTTCTGATCATGCACGCTTACAGAAGTGAAATAAATAGAGGAAATTCATGTTTGAAATGCACAAACCATCTTCGGTTTCTGTCACAAACACACACAGGTGAGGAGGCTCAGCCGTGCTGCAGGTGATTCATCCAGCAGGTCTGCATCCTGTTTCTTTGCTCCTCTTCCTTCAAAGTAGTTGGAATCTTGATGCTTCATCGCGTGACAGAAAAGCACGTCTTGTTCGTCTTATCACCAGAGCTTCGTTCCTTTTTACAAATCATTTACACACAACATGCAAATTCATCTGGCGGAAAAGTCTGTGAAACAGGAAATTAGTCATTTCCACCCTGCTTCTTTTTCATTGGTAAGGACATTTCTAGTTAGTTTCACAGATTCTCACAAGTTGCTTTAATTTGCACCAAAGCTGCAGCATTTTAATCATCACAGACTTTTGGAACTTGATGTTACGTTTTGAGCAAGCCTTCAGTTTTGATCTGTGTTCACAGAGCTTGGGTTTGGCAGGTACAGGTAGCAGGAAATGCAGCCCAACCTTGTTTAGTTTCCTCAGATAAACTGAAGCACGCCTTCATTAGAGCATCTTTAACTGGATGTTTATGCATAATGAAAAGATGAGATGATCTGAAGTTGGATTTAGACAGGTGCAGTTTTTAATTTAAAGGAAACTATTTCTTTTGCATGTCTGCGGTTTGAGTCAGGAGCCTTCACCACCTTGCAGACCGTTAGGTTGTGACATCACAGGTGATCAGAAACAGGAAGTGAGGCTCGTCTCTGCAGGAAGCTCTGTAGTAAGTTTGTAAAGTTCCCCACTGAGAAGCCGAATCAACATTTTAACCGAACGTGACTTAATCTCACAGAATGAAGAACAAATTGTAGATTTACACATTGGAATAAATTTAATTTGGTAATATTGGAATAAAATCAAGGAATCACTGTTGTATCTTTCAGAAGCATCTGCAGAGGAAATAAATGATCTCTTACAATCAAAATGGGCAAAAAGCAGACACAGAACACAGATATATTCAGGGATAGTAACAAGAGCCAGCCATGTTTATGCCTAACATCCTAATCTCTGCTGCCGGGTGAATTCATAAATTAGAGCGTGAGTTCGGCTCAGCCAGGCAGTAAAGTGGTGTAGATGGGGATCACAGTGCATCGCCTCTGTTCTGCTGATCCTCCAATACGAGGAACGATGGGTAATCTTTTTCTTGGTGTGGGCAGAAAAGTCAATAGGTGGACAGAACAGAGGTACAAGGTCATTGAGCTGTTCTCTGAATATCTTATTGGTAAAAACATTGATATGAATCAGTGTTTATATGGTTGCTAGCAAAGATCAACCAGGAGACCAAACATGCCAGAATACATGGCTATAGTAAACGGTGATATAAAGGTAGAATGGTCAATTTTTACGTCATAGCTCATAACCCTTCATTACGAAAATGAGACCAAATAATCATTTGAATGGTAAGCAGGGGTGAAGTTGTGCTCACTCCTCACCCCTGCCATGTGGACCTCAAGGGATAAACCATCAATCCTGCTCAATGGTCAACTTTCCTGGCGGGGTCACCCATGTACACAGTGGGCGGGTTAAGAACTAGAAAGAGAGACACAATGAACAAGTTTAAACCAAAAGAACCTGGAATGCCCCTTGTGGCTGGCTGCAGTTTACGCTTCGGGTTCTGCTTCTTCGATGTGGACAAACAGGGCATTGTTCTGAGTCTGACTAAAAAAACTAAAACTACCCTCAGATAGATTTTCCAGGTGTTGCTGATTGACTTTGCAGCTTCGTGTTTAAATATTGGTTCTCAAAATACACTTAGCTGTAATTAGTATAAAGTTACAATCAGAAGTTTTTTTTCAGACGGCACCATCTAGAGGCTGACACAAATATTGCACTTTAAGCCTCTCTCATCACATATGTATTTACGGCCAAAAGCAAAGCTTCTTGTTCGTGAACGCACACTTTTAGTCAGCCAACAGAGCTAAAACATGTAGTCTTTCAATTAATATACTTACGTTGTGCTTTTTATTCTTATGCTTCTGATGTGGCGTAAAGAATAAAACAAGATGAAACTTTTTTAAGGTATTTTGGTGGAAATTATACGAACTGTGTCTTGTGCCGCTTTACCAACACATCCACCCTTTCAAAGAGCTATTTCTTGCCTCACAAATGCAATCGTCAAGCGGAATAGGTTAACCATTTAGTGAAGATGATCCAATGTGTCATTTAAATAAGAGTTTTAAGTATGGAAAAGCTCCAGTAGAGAAGCTTTCAAACTACCTGGCAACACAATCCAAAGGTGACGTATCATACCTTTTTGAAGTTTCTTCTTACATCTTCATTTATGACTCTTCTGACCTCCAGGTCAAGCTGGGAGCTCCCTGACCTGCGGGATGGAAAGATCCTGGCCATCAGCGACTCAGACGGCGTTAACTACCCATGGTACGGCAACACCACAGAGACCTTCACGGTGGTAGGGCCCACCAAGAGGGAGAGCAAGTTTACTGTTAGCATGAATGACAATTTTTACCCCAGCGTGACCTGGGGAGTCCCAGTCAGCGACAGCAACGTGCCTCTGCTTAGCAGCATCCACCGTGACCAGAGTTTTACTACCTGGCTGGTTGCCATTAACCAGGCCACCTCAGAGACAGTCGTCCTGCAGACGGTCTGCTGGAGGATGCGTCTTCACATTGAAGTGGACTCACAGAAGCCACTGGGCCAAAGGGCTGTCTTAAAAGAGCCCGTGGCCCAGGATCAACCTCAAAAACTGTGCAAGAACGAGCTTATACCTCCCAACGCCATGGTCAAGCCCAACGCCAATGATGCCCAGGTGCTTATGTGGCGGCCAAAGAAAGGTGACCCTGTGGTGGTCATCCCACCCAAATACTCACCTGTCCCACAGACCAGACTGACCTCTGATACCTGATCAGTATCTGTTCATTTGTGTTTTTTCCCACTTTCCACCAGCTTTTAGCGCTTTAAACCATATGTGATATTTATTCACCCTTTTTGCCACCTCTACATTTTACTCCACATTAGGAAAAAAAAAACACTGACAGGAATCTAAATGAGCCAGCTGTTGCTTCAAAAACAGGGCTTAGAACTGAAGCGAAGTCCCTTGCAACCATTCTACCTTCAGTTGTTGGTCGGGCCTCGGTGTGCTAAAAGCTAAACGGAAACAGAAAAGTGTTTTCATTTGAGCGTGGGAGAGTTTTGAACAATGTACCGTGCATGACCGTGTCTGCACAGATGCTGCACAGACTGTGTGTACAATTACCTGAGGTATCTTTTTATTTATTTATGAGCTGGGAGAGAGTGCATTTACTTCTGTTTGTATGTTTCCGAGTTATTCACAAAACAGACTGCTACGCGGATGTAGCAGGTTTTAGTACTTTTTACCAACATGCAATGACATTCGATCCATGCTGCCTTAAGTTTACATTGCTTTCCACTGCAAGTGTTTTAGCCTTAAACAAAGTGCAATGCAGTTTTTGGTCATCCGTTCCGTTTCTTCCAGACTTGTTGGTGCTGGCGTGTGCGGGTTTAGGACAGGAATGATTGCACAGCAGAGCAAATTGTTTTAATTGTTTATTTCTTTTTTTACAAGTCTGCTTTCTAGTAACCAGTGTTGGAGCAGTTACACAATCAAACTAGCTAGCAGCGTTGGAATTTCAAGTGCATTATGCAATGGATGAGAAGCTTCGCGTAGCTCGTTGTGAAAAAATCATCCGTAATTTCCATTACTCCATCTCAGAGCCCGCCTCTTCTTTTAACCTGCTGTCTTCTATTTTTTCATCCAACATCAACACCAAAAACAAACCCTATTTTTTTTTTATCGTGTCCATCTATCACCTCACATCTTTATCTTGAGCAGAATTCCCCCTCCCGCTCCTCACTTCCTCCCCCTGCCTTCCCTTTCTCACTTTTCTTTCATCGGAGGCTGAAAGGCATAACAGGAAGAGCACGAGTTTAATGCCGACTGCACGACCGGCATGAAGATGACCCACTTCTCTTTTCTTCACTGCCAGTCGTTGCTCCCTCTGCAATGTGGGGCTTGTCTTCCTTTATTTCACCGCCAGCGAAGGCGATGCGGGACTACACATGCATGAGCAAACAGCTCCGGTCAGCTAAATATCAACGCCTGACAATAAGATGCATGTCTAACTGGAAATCTTAGAGAGAAAATTAAAAGCAGAGAGAGAGAGAGGAGGAAAATTGTTGGTCCTGTACACAGATTTTTACTTTAAGATGCTAGAAACATCTCGGTGGTTTATCTTTCCCCGTCTGTGCGCACGCGTGGCTTTCACCAAAGACAATATTTGCATGCAAGTCTGGTCTGATTCAGTTCACTGAGACCATTCAGCTCTGGCTTCTCCACTGTTTAAACATCTCCATAAAGATCAATCCAGGGGCACATCAGCCCTAGCCTGGTTGTGATTTTGTTGCATTGCTTCCTATTTGTTTTGTATGCCACTTAAAATCAATTATTAAAAAAAAAAAGATCAGTTCTCCTTATTATTCCACAAAAATGCTGCCAAGAGCGATCTTCACTTGGCTGTAAGTTGAGCGTATCCAGAGACCACCGTTTTGTTAATCCAGCAGAATCAGCAACTTGAAAGGACATTTTTAAAGAGCAAGTTCATAGAGAAACCAGGTTTTTACTTGTTATTGCTTAAATACGATCAGTCACATACAGGCTGAGCATGAAAATAGTCTTCTACCCTTATTGGCTGCGTTAGCCGGCAATAGAAAATAGACGAGGAAACGCTTGGATTAGAAAAGCCACTCAGATCTATGCCACACTGTAAATGATCATTTATGGACTCAACCATCTTGGCTTCCGACGGGAAAGGTTGTTGTTGGTTTAGCATCCAGGAGAGAGAAGATTGTGTCTTAGCTAGTAGAAGCTAACTGTTAGCATTAACAACTCGCTTGTTTTATTTTTGGAGATGAAATATCAGCGTTGCAAAGCAAACAGAGGGAGCGGTAGATTCATGTTGCTGTTAGCCAATCAGAGGCGAGATGTCAGAATAGCATGAATATTAATGAGCAAGACTTTAATTCCTGCTGCCCCAACACCCGGCTAACTTCTAGTTCCTGAAACAGAAGCACCAAAGCTTTTTTTTTTTTTTTTTTTTTACCACAGAGCAAGACTCATAAGGCCTTCCTTTACACTAGAGACCACTGCTGTATTGAACAAATGAATGAATGAGAGGTTTAAAAACTCAGTGCTTTTGGAGCAATGTTTACTCTCTGTCCTGCTGAAAGTTGTGTAAATAGATTGAGACTTATCACAGATCAGTGGTAAAAACACGTAACTACAGCCAGTGGTTAGTTTAGACTTGAGCAAAGCCCCAACATGATCTAAAACCATTAAAAATTCATCTACCAGTGCTTTTGAAGCTCGTTAGTTAAGGTGTTTTATCTCATTCGCCTCCGAATGCTTATTTAAAATTTCACTGCAATCGATCCCCTGAACTCTAAATGGGCACTAGCACAGATAAAGGTCTTCAAAGGCTCTGTGGAGTGGTGCACTAACAGTGGAATGACATTATTTGAACCATAACTGACAGATCAGATCCATCCTTAATGTAAAACGGACATCAGGGCTGGTACTGGAGCTGTACTCGAAACTGCCTCTGTCCCAGGGCTGAGTCACAGGGCGTCGTGGTAAAAGGGTGACAGGAACAAAGAGGCTACTGGGGACCGATGTCATAATTAGACATATGCTGACACACTCTTTTGATGCCCTACATGGACTGAGCCATGCTGAACCGGGCTAGAAGGCAGGGGTTTAAAGATGCAGTGGGCCTGTGTGTGTGTGCGTGTGCGTGTGTGTGTGTGTGTGTGTGTGTGTGTGTGTGTGTGTGTGTGTGTGTGTGTGTGTGTGTGTGTGCGCGTGTGCGTGTGTGTGTGTGCGTGTGCGTGTGTGTGTGTGTGTGAGGAAGGTGAAGACAAATACAATCAGCTCAGACACCAACAACTATAACTAATGCCAACATGTCCTAGGAGCAACTTGGATGCTGGCCAGGAGTTATTTCATTTTGCAAGTTTCTTTGTGAAAGGCTGCATAACGTTGCTGCACTTGTTGGGAACTCTGTGACCTTTGACCCAGCACTGTCGTGAGGCTGTCCTATAATACCCTGCCAGTTGATACTGACAATACTCAAGCGGGACATGATGGAATTAAATCGCAAAACTCTCACTTTTGTACATTTAAATTCCAGTGAAGACATTTTGGCAGGATGTGTGCTGCTGTCTGACTCTACACACACACACACACACACACACACACACACACACACACACACACACACACACACACACACACACACACACACACACACACACACGCACGTACGCAAGCAGACACAGTGTAGGGAAGGTTATGTCCTTGTCATAAAACCAGGATGGAGTTCGCCCCTCACTAACACACACATAAACCCCCCTGAGGGGAAAGGAGCGGGCCCGGCGTGGTATCTGATTGTCACAGCGGTGTCACATTGGCAATGTGGACTCATTTATCAGGCCTGCACGTGGACCAGCTGAACACATGCACTAACTACCAAAGCCATATGCACAAACACACCTGCTGAGTAAAAACCAGGAACTCACGTGCATCTTTTGTTTTATGATGTAAGCGTAAATACATGGTATGAGGTAACATTCATGTGCGTCTCACTCTGTGACGTCAGAGATGCTTCCTGAAAGCCACAGAAAAAACAAACCTTTTATTTTCTTTTTTTGTTTTTAAGTTTTGCCGCACAGATGGCAAAACATGCCCATACTGGACAAAGCCAAAAGTATGCAGAGAGAGAGAGAGACTCTGGTGGTTCTTAAAACTGGAAAAATAAATAATTTCAAGGGGACATATTACGCAAAACTTACCTTTTGCATCCTTTTGTGCTGCCATGTGGGTCTCTTCTGTCTCTATAAACACTCCAAATGCAAACCTAGTAATAATAATAATAATAATAAATAAAAATAACTATTTATCAGTTTTCAGTCAGTGTTTGGTTTTAGGAAGTATGTGCCTAAAACATGTTTGTGATGTCACAAACAGCAAAGTAGCATAGAACCACCTCTCACATGCAAGAAAGAGCTGCTGCTACAGGATCCGAGGCACTAAGCTCCTCCCAGATATTGAATCTTCTCAGCCTATAGCAGTCTGAGTGGGGGATGGGTGGGCAGCTTCAGCTTGTTTCCCTAAAGTGACAGAGCCCTGAAACAGCTCATTCTGGAAGGTACTGAAAATGTCAAGAATAAAACTGCTGAAATTGCTGTATGTGAGAGGGATTTAGTGCAAAGAACTTCACAAACATGTTTGGAATTGACCATAGAGCTATTACTACGTAAGAAAAAAGGTCACGATGTGTCTCCTGTTTTCAGCTGGTTTGGATTCAATGTTTTAAAATGCTTGTAAAAACATGATTTGCAGGTTTGTGCCAAGTAAACGGACGTCTCCTCTCCCAAACCCAAATCCTTACAATTCTTCAGAGGGCTGCTACCTTTTGCTTTACAATCTTCATGTTTTATCTTCTTAATGATCCTCACTGAGACACAAGGAACGGCTCGGGATCAACCTGGCCTTGTTTCCCATCTTTTACTTGTATTTCTATGTTGAGAAAAAAATGTCATGGTCCCATATGTTTGTGCATCTCGTTTTTCCTTCTCTGTCAGGATTTTGGATTGTTTATTTTAAGATGTAAGACCCCAAATGTAGCATAAGAAATGACATAAGTACTAAGTTTCATCATCTGCGTTGAAATAGTTTGACAGGAATGTGTGTTTTTGTTTTGTCCAGCTTAGATACTTTTTTTTATTATACCAGTACTTGAAAATGGGTTGGTTGCGGCAAGTGTTTGAAACTGTGAAAATGCACAATATAGGGGTAAACAAGCCCTAAATATATTTAAAAAAAACTTTTTTCACTAAGGAATAAAGTGTTCAAGTGATGTCGAGTGTGTTTCTTTTGAGCGTTGGTGTGAAAATATATAAAATATTCTCTTCATCAGCTACGTCATACGACCCAGTTCAAAAGAATAATATTTTTTTCTAAAATTAATAAATACGACATTTCTGGTTGTTCCTCTTTGGTCGCTGAATCTAACATCTGATTTTTTAAAATGATCTACATCTGTCTAGTGAGCCAAACCCCACACTTCCTCCCTCCTCCCTCATCACCTGCCTCCAAGAAAACAAATCTTGGTTCAGTTCAAACTTCTTCAAGTTAAATACTGAGAAGACAGAACTTCTTTTAGTGAGTACCAAGAACACCCTCTCAAAGTCTGACTGTCTCATCATTTATAACACTTGAGTTTCCCCCTCTCCCCAGGTCAAGAGTCTGGCTGTCATCCTTGATTTTCTTTTCAATCTCATTTCAAATGGTAAATGGTCTGTATTTGATGTAGCATCTTCTAGAGTCCTGGAACCCCCCAAGGTGCTTTACAACACAATCAGTCATTCACCCATTCACACACACATTCACACCCTGGTGGGGATGAGCTACGATGTAGCCACAGCAGCCCTGGGATGCACTGACAGAGGTGAGGCTGCCGAGCTCTGGCGCCACAGGTCCCTCCGACAACCACCAGCAGGCAAGGGGGGGGTAAGAGTCTTGCCCAAGGACACAACGACAGCGACAAACTGAGAAGGGCTCGAACCTGCAACCTTCCGATTACGGGGCGAGCACTTAACTCCTGTGCCACCGTCACCCCATCCTACGATGCTCAATAGCATCACACGGTCAGCTTATTACCATCTTCGTATTATTAATGGTCTTCGCCCCTCCCTTACCGTCCACTCTGCTTCTGCTCTCGTCCGTAGCCAGGTTTCATCATGCTTAGATTACTGTAACTCTCTTCTTTCAGGCCTCCCTCAAAAAACCCTTCATGAGCTCCAGATGGTTCAAAATTCAGCACCACGTGTCATTACAAAACTCCCCTTTCTCCTCTTATCACCCCTATCCTCAAACAGCTCCATTGGCTTCCAGTGCAAGCCAGGATCGATTTAAAAATTCTCCTGCTCCCCATCAAGGTCCCTCATTACCTAACCATCTTCCTCCATTCATGTCTCTGTGCCCTCTGTTTGCCTCAGCACCGTGGGGAGACGAGCCTTCTGTTTCACCGCTTCTGTTCCTCCACATGAGGAACAAAAACTCACTCAATTCAAAAACCAACTCAAAACTCAGCTCTTCAAAACCACCTACCGGTATCTACTTGAAATTTTAGTGTGCCTTGTTTACTTTCTGGTTTATTTGCTTTCCTTGTTTTATGCTACACTCATGTCTACTTGTGATCTTATTTAATGATATGTGTTTTTATCCTGTACAGTGACCTTGAGTATTTAGAAAGGCACTGTTAAATTAAATGTATTATTATTATTATTATTATTATTATTATTATTATTATTATTATTATTATTACATACATCAGCACCATGACAAAAACAAACTGGATAATAATTTCTTAAAAGAGGCAACAAAACTGGTGTTGAGGCTTATTTAAAGGCTACGTTTACACGATTTTGTACCTTTTTAGGTAAACATAATTTTTTATTATCTCCAGAAATGCAAAGCAGTTTGCAAATACTGTAAAACAAGCTATTTAGAAAATATGAGGAAAAAAAAGAAGTAAGAAAACAAACAAAAAAAAAAACAGGTTTGAATTTCTTAGCTGGTTGGTTTCTTTTGGACAGACATAAACAATTCTATTTAGGAAACAACAACAACAACAAAATCAAAGGCTTGCCTTTTTGTTAAATAGGCCCTTTACTAATTATATTTGAAAATGTCGTTTTCATGCAGGCTGAATATTAAAATAGTCTCCTACACTAGCTGCATTAGCTTCTTCTTGCCCCGCGTCTGAGTAATGAAGATGAGCCTTAGTTTTACTCTCAGCATTAAAGACTCAGCTATGATGCTTTTATCAGAAATGCTTTTGGTTGTTTTAAATTTAATTTAAATTTTAAAGCGAAAGGAGGGAGAGGAAAGGTAAAGGGGTGGTGGTGGTGGTGGTGGTGGTGGTGGGGGGGGGGGGGGTGCTGTTGCTTGGTGAAATTCATGAATCTGTAAAAAATGTATGAATACGGAGGAGCTAACCCCAAATCTTTAAAATGTCACAATGGTTCATACAATCATTATCATTAACATTTATACCTCAATCAGCTTTGCATTATAGGAAGAAAATTTGAAATATTGAAGATTTTCTGTATAATTTGAAACATGGATGCAATGAAAGTGCTACGTTTTCCTGCAGCTGCTGATTTTAATGCTTGTAAAAACTGAATGTCATGTCTCAGTTTCCACACATCTCTCAAACACCGCTGTAAATTTAGAAAACAATAACACAATTTAAGAAAACGAAAGAACAAAATGTTACACGAGAGTTGAAAACCTGCAAGATAGAAACAAAGACCACCTCAGTTCCAAGCGTGCAAACTTTGTGGTTTTCTTTGCCCTTGTAACGTTCCTGAGCTGCACATTCGTGACTATTTTTACACGGCTGTGGAGTCCCCCTGCAAACCTCCACCTGTTGCTATTTGTTCCAACAAATAATCACTGTAACATGGTATCAATTGAACTGGGCCTTACTATTAATACTCTCATGGCACCAGTACAAAATGTTTTGGGACCCCTCAGTCATGCTATCAGTGTACGATGGGGCTTATTAGAAGGTAACTGTCCTTGTTATTTTTGCCCACTGACACTTTCATCTTAATCAGGACTGACCTTTTTGTATCTCTGCCACTTGGATCTAGCTGCTCGGTTACCCTCTCTGCAGCCGTGTGGTGATGATAGAAAACCTTCAGACCTTATTTTTGTGCCATACAGATTGGTGTCAGGGATCCTTGAAATGCTTCTGCAGTTGAACTGGGATTAAAGACAAAGATATCTATAATCTCGCTGTTCAGCCAAAAGTAATAATAAAGGATGGAAATGGCCCAAGAAGAGCAACACAAAACTGTACGACTGAGATCATTCAGAGGAAATCTCATCTGTTCTGAGGAGACTAAAATGGAACAATTGTACCTCAAATTAGGCAACGTCTGTCATTTAAAGTGGGGTAGACAATCTAGGAAAAAAAAATGTTCAAGCAAACTACATTTTGAAAAATAACAATTTTAAGGTGCAGCCCCCTTTGTTTGGGCTTCTCCCCATGAATCATAGATTCTGGTGGTCGCAAAAAACAGTACAACACCACCCAGTCGCAAAGGACACAGTCAAAAAAGCATGAAAACATAACTTCATCTCATGTTTTTGACCCATTGTTGGTCCCTTTTCTGTCATCATTTCAATGTAGCACACCTACGTACCCGTGTAATTTAGGATGCTGGCTAATATAGTGTACCCACCCGCACACACGCATGCACGCCCCTTTAGACACACAGCTCTGCCAGACAAAAAAATAGGTCAAATTTTCTAGAACCCTCTCTGAACCTGCTCCCATTCGCTTCGCTTTCTTCTCTTGGACAGCTTCGAAGGGAAGGCCAGAGATGGATCAAGATGATGAAGGCAAATTATTCATTATTCATTTATCTGACAAAAAATTTAAACTCTGACGAAGACAGCAGTGTCCAAATGTCAGTTTTTTTTACTTGCGCCTATTAAATACTGAATTTGACCCTCACCCTAACTCCAGTCACACAACATTGTATGAATTTGTTTATGTGTTGGGGTTGACACAGCTATTAGCGTATGGTTTGAACTGAAGTTAACCAGTTGTAATTCAAGATCTAATAAAAACTTTAGAGCTTTATCAAAATCAAATACAGGTAAAAAGGTAAAAAGGATCGACTGACTGAAGATTAAAGGTAATATTTTAGGCAAAAACACGGCACAGCATGTAGAGCTTATATGACAGGGATAACTCATCAATAAACACAAGTTGTGGCTCAATATCAGAGAAACTAACTGAATTACAGCTGTTATGGTGTTGACTGAGGTCAGTTAGCTATGGTGGATATCCCAGCTACAAAGGCCTTCATCTTTAGCTTAGCACGGGTGAACTGACTAAGTTATAGCCACGCTTGTGTTCTCCAATGTGTGGTAGCCATCTTGCACTGTGTTGTGGATGTGCATCCAACAAAAAATAGCTAAGGATTTCATTAAAATTCTTCCAGTGGTTCAAGAGATGCACAATAAATAAATAAATAAATAAATACTTTCTAAACCCATTACCACCCACCTTAAACCTTTTGTCTGCAGTATTGTTGTTTTTCAGACCAAAAGGCATTTGGATAACCAGATGGACTGTGCAGAATATTCTGCAAGTTTACTGTGGATTGTATGCATACAACATAAAAAAGCGTGGTTAAACAGTGGGATTCTGTAGAAATGACAGCACGTCGATGGTTATTACTGCTGCGGCAACAATAATCCATCATTTCCAGACGGCCCACAACTGGACAGATCAACGTTTTTATTACTGACTATAAAGCCCCGGGCAGTCTTGTGTGAATCAAATTTAAAACTTTTAATCCCCTTAAAGGCTTTAGGACCTTTCCGAGCCTGCAGGTGTCATCCTGAGAACATTACGTAACTTTTATTAAAATGAAAAGCTGCAACAAAAGCAGCTGAAAGTCGCTTTTAATCTTCAGGCCAGGCGATGAGTTACATAAGAGGTTGATGCTTGATCAACATCTGGAGGCTGAAACTCCAGTGATTAGCATGCAGCATAATGAAATTCTTCTGTTTAAATGAACGACAGCCATTAATCCCACAAACTGTGGCAGTGAACCTTCCTAGCATCCTCACAGCTGGTGATGGAGTTGGATCCCACTCCTCCCACTCGCTGCCAAGGCTTTTGTAACAGACTCAGACATCACAGGCATCTCCCGAGGGAACCAGATCCTCCTCGTAATTACAGCATCACCAGTTTAGTGGAAGTGAACTCCTCTTATTAACCATTCACTTCTGTAAATATGAAAACCTTCACTCTGATTAATGAAACAGAAG